CTGAATGACATGGGATACTGATATTGTGAGTAATGGCAAACACTAATGGAATTGGCATTAGGTAATGCATTTGAATAGCTACTGTACAGAACATAAATGACTGTTTAGCCTCTGAGCCAAGAATATTGATGGTTCCCACCTTGACGGTACATTGTGTCCTCTCCAGTGAGCCAAGCTAAAATGATTTCATGTTACAATGCACCTCTCTGGGAACCGTCACCTTATCGTGGTGGAGAGGTTTGTGTGTCCCTATGAACCTGAGGGCTGTGTTGTCGGGAGCCTTGTGCTCCTGGTAGGGTTACCCTTGGCAAAGTGGTCTCAGGCGAGGGGCCAGACTAAGAATGGTTCAAGATCCCCATGAAAAAACGGAAGAGGGAAGGAGTTACCCGGCCCGGAGGAAGCCCGGGGCCCCCATTTGGAGCCAGGCCCAGATGGAGGGCCCGACAGCGAGCGTCTGGTGGCCGGGTTTACCGCGGAGCCCGGCCGGGCACAGCCCGAAGGAGTGACGCGGCAGCCCAACACTCTACTCCCCATGGGCTCACCACCTGTGGGGGAAACCGATGGGGTCGGGTGCGCTGCTACAAGGGTGGCAGTGACAGTGGGGGGTCTAGACGGAACAGACCTGGGCGGCAGATGCTGGCTCTGGGGACGTGGAACGTAACCTCTCTGGGGGGGAAGGAGCCGGAGCTTGTGCGGGAGGTGGAGCGTTATCAGTTGGATCTGGTGGGGCTTACCTCTACGCACAGCCTCGGCTCTGGAACCAAACTCCTGGATAGGGGGTGGACTCTATTCTACTCCGGAGTGGCCCATGGTGTGAGGCGCCAGGCGGGTGTGGGGATACTCATAAGTCCCCGGCTGAGTGCTGCTACATTGGAGTTTACCCCAGTGGACAAAAGGGTCGCCTCCCTACGCCTTCGGGTGGTAGGGGGGAAAACTCTGACTGTTGTCTGTGCATATGCACCAAACAGCAGCTCAGAGTATTCGGCCTTTTTGGAGACCCTGAATGGAGTCCTGCATGGGGCTCCTGTAGGGGACTCCATAGTCCTACTGGGAGACTTCAATGCGCACGTGGGCGACGATGGAGATAACTGGAGAGGCGTGATTGGGAGGAATGGCCTCCCTGATCTGAACCCGAGCGGGTGTTTGTTACTGGACTTCTGTGCTAGTCACGGATTGTCCATAACAAACACCATGTTCGAACATAAGGATGTTCATAAGTGTACGTGGTACCAGAGCACCCTAGGCCAAAGATCAATGATCGATTTTGTAATCGTATCGTCTGATCTGAGGCCGCATGTTCTGGACACTCGGGTAAAGAGAGGGGCAGAGCTGTCAACTGATCACCATCTGGTTGTGAGCTGGGTCAGAGGATGGGGGAAGACTCGGGACAGACCCGGTAAACCCAAGCGTGTAGTGAGGGTGAACTGGGAACGTCTGGAGGAGGCCCCGGTCCAAAAGATTTTCAACTCACACCTCCGGCGGAGCTTCTCTCACATTCCTGTGGAGGTAGGGGACATTGAACCAGAGTGGTCTATGTTCAAAACCTCCATTGCTGAAGCCGCGGCGGTGAGTTGTGGCCTCAAGGTCTTAGGTGCATCAAGGGGCGGTAACCCTCGAACTCCGTGGTGGACACCGGTGGTCAGGGAAGCCGTCCGACTGAAGAAGGAGGCCTTCCGGGTTATGATATCCGGTGGGACTCCAGAGGCAGTTGCAGTGTACCGACAGGCTCGAAGGGCAGCAGCCTCTGCCGTGATGGAGGCAAAGCAGCGAGTATGGGAGGAGTTCGGGGTAACTATGGAGAAGGACTTTCGGTCGGCACCAAAGTGTTTTTGGAAGACCATCCGGCACCTCAGGAGGGGGAAACGGGGAACCATCCAAGCTGTGTACAGTAAGGATGGGACCCTGTTGACCGCGACTGAGGAGGTTATCGGGCGGTGGAAGGAACACTTTGAGGAACTCCTGAATCCAACTACTACGCCCTCTGTGGTGGAGGCGGAGCTGGAGGCGGAGGAGGGATCATCGTCAATTAGCCTGGTGGAAGTCACTGAGGTAGTCAAACAACTCCGCAGTGGCAAAGCCCCGGGGATTGATGAGATCCGTCCAGAGATGCTAAAGGCAATGGGTGTTGGGGGGTTGTCTTGGATGACACGCCTCTTCAACATTGCGTGGAAGTCTGGGACAGTGCCAAAAGAGTGGCAGATCGGGGTGGTGGTACCCCTCTTTAAAAAGGGGGACCAGAGAGTGTGTGCCAATTACAGGGGTATCACACTACTCAGCCTCCCGGGTAAAGTCTACTCTAAGGTGCTGGAAAGGAGGGTTCGGCCGATAGTCGAACCAAGGATTGAAGAGGAACAATGCGGTTTTCGTCCTGGTCGTGGAACAACGGACCAGCTCTTCACTCTTTCCAGGATCATAGAGGGGGCTTGGGAGTATGCTCAACCAGTCTACATGTGTTTTGTGGACTTGGAGAAGGCGTATGACCGGGTCCCCCGAGAGATACTGTGGGAGGTGCTGCGGGAGTACGGGGTGAGGGGGTCCTTGCTTGGGGCCATCCAATCCTTGTACGCCCAAAGCGAGAGCTGTGTTCGGGTGCTCGGCAGTAAGTCGAAGGCGTTTCCGGTGGGGGTTGGCCTTCGCCAGGGCTGCGCCTTGTCACCAATCTTGTTTGTGGTCTTCATGGACAGGATATCGAGGCGAAGTCGGGGGGAGGAGGGTCTACAGTTCGGGGGGCTGCGGATCTCATCGCTGCTTTTTGCAGATGATGTGGTCCTGATGGCATCTTCCGTCTGTGACCTCCAACTCTCACTGGAGCGTTTCGCAGTCGAGTGTGAAGCGGTCGGGATGAGGATTAGCACCTCTAAATCTGAGGCCATGGTTCTCAGCAGGAAACCGATGGATTGCCTACTCCAGGTAGGGAATGTGTCCTTACCCCAAGTGAAGGAGTTCAAGTACCTCGGGGTCTTGTTCACGAATGAGGGGAAGATGGAGTGTGAGTTTGGCCGGAGAATCGGAGCAGCGGGGGCGGTATTGCACTCGCTTTACCGCACCGTTGTGACGAAAAGAGAGCTGAGCCGGAAGGCAAAGCTCTCGATCTACCGGTCAATCTTCGTTCCTACCCTCACCTATGGTCATGAAGGATGGGTCATGACCGAAAGAACTAGGTCACGGGTACAAGCGGCCGAAATGGGTTTCCTCAGGAGAGTGGCTGGCGTCTCCCTTAGGGATAGGGTGAGAAGCTCAGCCATTCGCGAGGAGCTCGGAGTAGAGCCGCTGCTCCTTTGCGTCGAAAGGAGCCAGTTGAGGTGGTTTGGGCATCTGGTGAGGATGCCCCCTGGGCGCCTCCCTAGGGAGGTGTTTCAGGCACGGCCAGCTGGGAAGAGGCCCCGGGGAAGACCCAGGACTAGGTGGAGAGATTATATCTCTGCACTGGCCTGGGAACGCCTTGGGATCCCCCAGTCAGAGCTGGTAGATGTGGCCCGGGAAAGGGAAGTTTGGGGTCCCCTGCTGGAGCTGTTGCCCCCGCGACCCGACCCTGGATAAGCGGCTGAAGATGGATGGATGGATGGATGGTTACAATGCAGTGGATGCAATGACGTGGAGCTTTATTCTAATGCTTCTCAGTTAAAGCTAGAACAAACGTATTTTTTTAGTAATCAGCCTACTTATGAATATTTATTTCAAAGCTTCACAAATGTTAGTGTTATGTATTTTGCGTTCATTCAGGTATTAATAACCATAAAATGAATTATTGGAGATTAAAGTTGTTTTCATCTTTTAAGCAGCAATACTTATTGTATTGGTTAAGTTAGAAAATCCTACTGTATTGGTATAAGTTATGACAGACAAATACAGCGTATTCCTCTGTCATACATATATGTTGTTTATAATACAACAATGATTTTGATGGCATACATTCTCCATTATGACTATTAAAGTAAAAAAAAAAAGTTGGCATACTATGATATGATTTTCTGATTAGTCATGAATTTTTCTAAGACTTTTTAAGGATTTTGTACAATATACCTTACTGTAACGTTTCTTCAACAGACTCATCAATATATTTTTTACGTGCTGTCTGACTGTAAAGGACTATTCAGGACTTTCAAGAATGAGGAACATTTATTACCAAAATATGTTAGACATACAAGGAATCTGACTTCCTTTGTTATAATGTAGCATGACTTTTATACTATTACCTTTTTAGAAATACTATGCAGTGACTTTTTTGACATGGTTTCTTCCTTGTTTGACATACTATATACTATGATACACTATAGCATGCATCGCATACTATACTTTTTATGAATATGTCATGAATATAAAGCTATGGCCTTTTTAAAAAAACGTTTTGACACGTACAATTCTTTAACCTTCATTTGAAGAACTATACAATATACAAGAACTATACAATAACTTCTTCTTCTTCTTCTTCTATCTATCTTCTATTGTGACTTTTTATCTACAAACATTTCTTTCAAACCCCAAACAAGGCTGCCTGGTTTGAAAAAGAAAACAAACTTGGGGTCCAAAAAATATTTCCCATTTCTTGTCTATGCAGCAGCTCCGGATTTTATACTTGATGAGATTACAAATTTGGTTTATTTTTGGCTGCTAGTTTTAAGAGAGAGTAATTGTGTTAAATACATTGATAAGCCTTTTCCTAGGCCATTGAAATAATCAGAATCCTTAATTCATGTGATGTTCCCCTCTAATCTTGATGGACCCGATAAAATTGCCAGTTTCCAATACGTTACTTTCAGTATTTATTTTAAGACTGTTTCGATATTATTCAATAAAAAGCATCGGGGGTGACTGACATGTCCCTTGTTAGGTCGACTGGACGTGACCAAATAATTATAAACGCTTAAAAAGCCATCGTATAAGTATTGAACATAAAAACAGTTTTCTAAAACTTCATTGTTGTTCAGTTCAGTTTTTGTTAACATAAAGAAAAGAGACACTCCTGCCAGAGGATGTTGACATAATAACAAGGGAGAATGTGTAGTTTGAATTTTTTATTACTTCTTTTTACTTTTTTGCTTTACGAAACAAATGCTTGCAGATGTCATATGAATAAACAACAGCACCCTTCCTTCTTAAAAACAAGGACCCATTACCATCACCTTATCAAGAAAAGAGACTCTTCTTGTCCAACTACAACCTCTCCAGATTCCCAAAGTGACTCTTATTTCCTGTATTTGACATTTGTTTAAGTGCATTATTAGACAACATAACCATTTTGATTAATGTGCAATAGCTGAGTTTATGGTCAATGGGAAAAGATATATACATTGCAGCTATGACTCACATTAACTGTCTTTCAACACACAAGCTAGTGTCAGAACTGGAGAGGGTGACAATCACAACGCAAGGAGTCTCCTTTCAAGCCCATCCTTCGTAAACAGCAACCTTTACCTACATCATCATCATCGTCATCATCATCAGGATTAACTAGACTCTTTTGTCATACCTGTTTTCCTCCAGTAAGACAAAAAGGTTAATAGATAGAATGGTTTAAAATAAAGTTTAGTGATTGTGCTTTTAAAACCAAAGTAAAACAAATGACAAACATTGACATCAACACGAAACATAACAGTGCATTATAAAATACAAAAGAAAAGAAAAAAAAATCCCAAAGGGGCACTTTCTTGGGGCAGCTAAATAATATAGCAATTTACAACTTGGATGGAAATGATAAAATAATAATTATATTTACTGGCATAATAAAATTAGAATTCACAAAATAAAAAAGGGAGACAAATTCCAGGTACCACAGTGGGTAAAACAAGAAGACATCATGTATACACGTATATTTACAGACAGTCCACCCCTCTCTGCTTGCAGCTAATTCAATACAGTAACAACTCACTGTTTGGGCTCTCCAGAGTTCTTGTCGAGGCAAGCAGAGTCATGTCAATGTCTGGAATAAGATTTCACTCCATATTGCATTGGAATTAAACGTAAATATACCACTGCGTATTTTGTTTTGAATGCACTCTTATCTTCAGACGCCCTTTCCTTTTTTTAAATGGACATAGAAAATGATAAGGTAGGAAAAAAAAAAACATTGGTCTGTTTTCCAGATGTAAAGAAACACTACTGATGTACAGCATAATGGCAGCAAACAAGATGGTGAAATACTGAGATATTTAAAGTTGTAAGAGAAACAATGGTGCTCCTCTCTTGGAAAAGTCAGGACAGTTCCTCTGCTCCTCGTCTGTTCTTCAGCTTTCTACCATCTAAGTGAAAAACAAACATTTTTGTTAACATTCATCTTTCATAACATGAGCAGTATATTGTCCAATGGTAGCATATTCCAAATATCTATATATATATATAGTATAAAGAAATGATTAAAATGGGTAACGTAATATAGAGACACCATGATCATCACGACCTTATTAGGTCACATAGTTGGAGAACACAACACAATGAGAAGTTTATTTAAGGTAAAATATGAGGATTTTGTATGTATTTAGTCACAATATTTATTGTTATAAGTGAGATTGATAATGTGTAATTTCTATTATTGTATTTTTAAAACTCTGAAATATCGGTATCAGTGTGATCCATTGAGTGACAGCCTGTGCACTGTGATGTTTTTTATGATATATTTTTTATGACAAATATGTTTTTGGAAACTTTCACAGTATGTTAAACTATATGATGTCATTTTTTGACACTATACTATAACATTTCTATGACAATCTATGGCTATTTTAGTATGACTTTTCACGATTTTTGTTAACATTACTTGGTGTAATATCACCAACTATGACATTTTATGACATGCTCGATCATCACATCACATCACATACTATACGATTACTTCTCTTTTTTACAGTTTTACCTGAAGCTCTTCATCTCCTTGTTGGAAGGCCCCTGTGGTGTTAAGGCCCATGTCTGCAGGGTTCCTGCGGCCTCCTTCTCCTCTTCGCCGACCCCCTGACCCCCTCGAGGACATGGAGCTGGAAGAGCTTGGGTCCCGGGGGCTGTTGACTGCGGGGAACTGTGGCCGGCTATAGGGCAGAATGTCCTCTGAAACGGGGGACAAAAGAACAGTTGGAGGAGGAATAATAAAAAAAAACACGGCACATTGAATGAAAGGAAAGCCTCACACTCTTCTTGTTGTCGTACCTGGGTGTTGCCGCGGCTTGTTGGCGACGCTTCCCTCGTGTTTAATCCCTTTCCCCCCATGAGCGCTCTTTTGTCTCTCTTGAGCATCTTTGCGGTCAGATGAGCTGTTTCTGGGGTCCGAGCCCTCCCGGGGCCGATAACCCCCCGTTCCTCCTCTCTTGTCTCGAACCTCACCCACTTTGGGGGAAATCACTCCCCGGCCTTCCAGTACTCCCTTGGAGGGGTGTGTGGGCGACTTGAGCACTGCTGGAGGTGGGATAGGCGGAGGTGGAAGATCTGAGAGATAAAGACAAGAGGAAGGACGGTATTAACCACAGAGATTCAAAAATGGGGTTTAGGGAAACCAAACTGATTTCTCAGACCTGCAAGTTGTGTATGTATCTACACAACGTGCACGCAGAGCTTTAGACACAGCCGAGGTGTATTATACACAGAACAGATGAAATTAGAGAGGTCAAATCTGGATGGAGCACAAGAGGAGGAAGAGGTGAGCATGACGGTCAGCAGCTGGCTCTCTAACCCGCTGAAACGCCCCAGTCAATTAATCACCGCCGCTCGTCCTTGAGCCAATATTGCCGCCCGGCTTCTCACACATCACACAGACAGCTAAATGAAACGCAGAGAGAGAAGGCGTTGTCTGCCTGCAAGTCATGTCTTTCCATCTTCTAATCAGCTTCCGCCCCAAAGGATCGATTTGTCAGCAACAACACTTTTAATCCAAACATGTTTAAAAAGCTAACACACAAAATGAGGTGCCATACTCGCCTGCATTTTAAAATCAACCGTGAGCTTTCTTAACACTAGACCTTTTTGCACAGTAATTGCTAATAGGCTGGGTGGTTCAGGCAGATTCATGCGCCCTTCTGATTAACTTACACATGCATCCATTCCTCCTGAATATAACAGGGGGCAGTCAATACCATACAGCAGAGATGTGTCTGCAGTTTTTTAATATCGCCCTTGCCTTCCGAGTCATGCGTCAGTCCGATCAATGCCACAGTCTGTGAGATATGCCTCAGTAGTCGGGAGGAGGGTGGAGGCGCCTGTTCGATTTATGAGGGAATATCTGGTTTGAGAGGTGTCTCTGGGCTTGCCAAGGAGGCAGGTTAATTAAGCAGAGAAGGCTAAGACAGATCAAAGGAGGCAGGAAAGGATTAAGTACAGGGAGGAGGTAGACAAAGGCATTAGAGTCAATAGCAACATGATTCATGGGGGGGGAATATAACTTGGGAGGTTCCACATTCCACTGTGCAAATGCGAGTAAAATAACAAGGTAAGCGAGAGATAAGGGGTGAAGTAGAATGCTTGGGTCGGGGGAGGGGGGGGGGGGGGGGGGGGGGGGGGGGGATTAGTGATGCTGTTCTGATGATGGTCTTGAGACAAAAACAATTACACTTATTTACACGCACATAAAACACACAATGTCAGGGTTTTATTTATTCACCTAAATAACAGTTCACATCAGAACCAGGCCACAGAATGTCGGGTGGGGGTTGGTGGTGGGGAATAACCTCCAAATGAAAAAACAACCCATTCAGATCAAATGCAATCAGCGGGAGAACTAGCGGACAGACAGCGCTGCAGCGCTCTCAGTCCGCCCCTTCGATGCTCAAACAAAGGCCGGGGAGAGGGGAGAATGGGAGAAGTGGAGAGAGAGGAAAGGGATGGAGAGATCACTCCAAAGGGAGGGGCGGCGAATGGGGAAGAAGCCAGGACACAAGGATGATGGCAGGAGGCGGAGGCTCAGGGTGGTGGTGGTGGTTGGGGGGGGGGGGGGGGGGGGGTGGATATAGCTGGTCTGGCTACCAGTGAGCTGGATATTAAATCTCCCTGTCAAGTGCTTCCAACACTCAAGGACACCTGACACTAACAGGAGGGCCGTCTCTGGGACAGCACACACTGTACGCAGCAGAGGGGCCGTGTGCAGTTAAATAAATAAAACCTGGTATTTCTGCACTAAAACAGGAAGAAAGGTTGTTTTTTTGTTTGTTTCTTTTGTAAAGAATGATGCCATAAAAAGTAAACCGCTCTTTTACTTAACAAGGTCAAAGCTTTTCCTTCTCTTTGCAGTGGCTCCGGTATTTAGCCCCTGTTTGGTTTATGTTCGACTCTCACCCGGCGAAAAGTGGCACTTCAGTACGAGCCACAGCACCTGGATCAATTTCATTAGTGGCTAGAGCGGAGAGACATCCCAGTGTCAGCATAGCCGAGCTGGGCAGCGCTCCCCTGAGACAACCCCCTCCCTCCACTCCTCCCCGCCGTTGCCCTGGCCTCCGGCCCGCCACTCGCCCGATCTGTTCAGCGCTGAGCGGTTTAGGAGCACTGCCATGTGCGCACGGGCATTGACACGCGAGAGAAGAGGATGCAAACTCTGGCTGGAGACACGCAGGCAGTCATGGCCACTACTACACCTTCCCCTTCCATGGCTGCAGAGGGAATCCAGGCAGCGTTTGGTACAAATTGGCCATCTGGGTACTTGTGGGATACGGCTAGCTATACTATAAGCCTGTTGGCTTTAGACTATTTTCTATAGGTTTACATTGAAATATCGGAGTTATATCTGTAGCAACAGCTAAGCTCAATTGAAAAATTGAAATAAATTATTTGGGGTCTATAACAACATACGTTGTTAGTAGACATATCCCACTTGCGTGCGATTCCAGGAAAACTGTTTCAAATATTGATAGTATTTCTGTTTACTCAAATGTATTAATGTGTTACCTTCATTATAGGCTTCACGTCGCTGGTTCCCCGGATGTCCAGCAGGATGCTGTTTCTGCTTCTTAGGAGGCCTCCTGTGTACAGCTGCCATACTCATGTTACTGTCTGTTGACACCGGGCTACCAGGGCGATGACTCGAAGGGTTTATTTGGTATTTTCGGGCTGAGAATAGCAACAGAGGCATAGTTTAGTTTTCTTTACCATTCCTTACATTTTGATTTTGCGATAATGTTCCTTGTGGATGTAGCAGTTACATGGAACCTACCAGAAGCTCCTCCAACTTCGTGGCCCAGCGTGTTGGGGTATTTGGCCGTCCGGTGGCCTGAATACTCGCCTGAATACGCAGCTGCAGCGACCGCCTGAGCAAAGTCAGCATCGGTGAAGAACGATCCGTCTGAAGAGCTGACGGCGCTGGACCTCCCCGAAGAGACATTATCCTCTTCGGAAGCGGAACCCCACCCGTTGATCATGGAGCCGGTCACCGAGCTCTCCAGGTCGCCCATGCTGGACGCAGGCGTCTGTTCAAGGCCTCGTAGCAGCAACCTTCGAGGGTGCATCTGGGGATGGTGGGGGTGTGTGTGGGGGTGGGTGTGGTGGTAGTGCATCTTGGCCACCTCAACATCTGTCTCGTCACCCTCTTCCTCCAATATATCATCGTCGTCGTCCTCCTCCTCCTCTTCCTCCTCCATTCCATCAGTGTCCAATGGGCTGGTGACGTACCCATATGGGTGTGAAGGAGAGAGGGGCTTGGGAGGGGCTGGGGGGCTCACAGTGTGCCGCCTACAACAGGTGAGAAATACACCGCAACCATGATGAGTAATCATTCTGTATAAACAAGTCAAATATACTGGCCAATTATGAAGGGAACAAACGGTCATTTAAAATAATTCTCAGGATTTTTGGAAACGCACCTGAGCAAATTAGACACTTTTAGAGTTTGGGGCAAAAGAGTTTCCGTTTGACAGTTCATTCCTGAATTATAATCTCTTCCATTTCTTTGAGCAGAAACAACAATTGAATCCTGATCACAGCTAGTTAACCACAAAACACATTACACACTACAAATATTAATAGACTGTGATGCCGCTGTGATGTACTATTTCAAACAACTTGAACTTGATCAATAAACTTGAAAATGTCAATCAATGTAGCAGATGCATATAACGTTCTGTAATGAGCTAAAATGAGAATGAAATAAATTAAATATATTCTCGGAGTAACGGACTAAAATATTGAAAACAGTTTCAAACACTTTTGCAAGAAATTGCAATTCTCTTTGAAGCTTTAAAGGATTGATATATATATATATATATATATATATATATATATATATATATATATATATATATTTTTTTTTTTTTCTAGAAACCTTTGCACACGCTGGCTACTCTCCTTTCCCTACTTGTTTGTACCTGCGTTCGTGGCTGTCAAGTGCGTCCTGGAGCATTGGCTGCATCTCCTCCTGGGGTGAGGGGGTGAGAGTGGCTGTGGACTGGTGACTGTAAGACACAGCTGCAGGGGAAGAGGCCGCCCCTCGGATGGGAGGAGTAGGCCCCCTCTCCATCTCCTCTTCCTCCTCCAGCTCATCCGGCTGCAGGTACATGTCAGAGGGGGGCATGGGGCACTGCATGCCTGCTTCACAGCTGCCAAGCGAGGAAAACAAGCCTCGTTAGCGTCATATCGAAGAATGTTTTTTCCTATACTGAAGCCGGGGAAACATAAACTGAATATTCATGGCAGCCTTCTATCAGGGTTTGACACAACGCCAGCACTAATAGATAGGAAGCCCTTGGGGCAAATGCTTGCAATAGAGGCGAGAAATAACAGAAAAGATTTAAATAGAGTGTGCATGCCTGTCAGCTTGTCTCTGTCTTTGTGTCTGCGCAGACAAGTCCCACCTTTCTTCCATTGACAGGGTGTACTCCTCGGTGCTCCGACTTGGGGGTGGGTTTGCAGGGGGAGGGGGCAAAAGGTCAGCCCAATTCATTGTGCTCTGTTTGGGTGGTTTGGGGGTGCGCACTCCCTTCTTCTGACCCTGACTCCCTGCTCAAAAAAAAAAGGACTGTCAGTCACAAGTAACCTGGAGACACATACTTATAGTCACTGTGTCACTGAAAAGCACGTCAATTATTTATGTTCAGGAAATTGCAAGGTAATGAGCAAGGAATTGACATCAGATAAAATGCGTTAACAAGACTGGCTAGCAAAGAAAAGATCAGTTTACATGCAAGAGAGCAAAGGCTAATGCAACCGTCCACTTTTATGCCAGTGTTCACACACTCTCAGCTATTAAATTATGGGAAACACAATGAAAGACAGCCATTTCCCTCCAGCAAAAAGGTAGCAGAAAGGCACCCAATTAATAGCAAACTATAAGAATTGTGAACCAATGAGCTGTGAGGTGCAGCGGGCACTAAAGGCTTCTCCTTAATGGCTTGAATTTCAAACGCAATATCAGAATGGATACGTGGCATTAAGGTGGCAGTGTTGCATGCCGTCTGCAGTGTGTTATCATTTGTCCTTGTCTGCAGACCGACATTTAGGCCCTGGTGAATTTTGTCGACGCCCTACTGGAATTAAAGTTCAGCTAATCAAAAGAAAAAAACGGAGAAAAATAAATAAATAAATCCTTTTATTAAATTTGCAATAAACATCCCTTGAATGATGTTGCACTGAGAAAACAAAAGGCACAACAAGCAAAATCCTGGCATGGTGCTCATGTCTTTGTTTGGAGTCTTTGTTATCAGTTTCCTCCTCTCTTTTTGTTCTGCAATTTTCCACTTTCTGAAGGCATCCCCCTTTCAATATCTCTTCAATGTAAGCTGACATGGAAATTAATCAAATTACCATTTTAAAAAATGCATTATTTGCATCTCAAAGTGATTTATTGCGTTTGAGCAATACTGGATTTTTCAATTGGAGCCGGAGGTTGTGTGTGATTATGTGAGTTCAGAATAACAATAAGCGTAGACAATTGGGCAGTTAAATCCAAAAGTAACAACAAATCTCCAAATAAAATGTTATTAAGAGACTTATTTTCACAAAACAACTTAAGCACAAAGTATTTTGTTAAACTATTTAGTATAGAAGTATAGTATAGAAAGTATAGAAAAAAAGGTAAAATAGCCACCAATGTCTTATAACATAAAAAATAGTATGCTATTTAAAATAAATCATGGTAACGTGATGGTATAGTCTTGGAAAAGATCCTAAAAAGTCAGGTTATTTCAAAAAGTGGCTCTACTTTTTCCTTTATGCCATCTTTCTTACCAGAGGTACTACTGCTGCCTCGGTCGGAGCTGTTGTAGGAGCCCCCGGTGTGGCTGTCATGGGTCTGGTTGTAGGGGATGGTTGCTGCCACGGGGCCGTCACCTCCTCTGTAGCGGTCTGAACGTGGGAGGAAGGGAGCGTAAAGTTAGTATGGCTCCATGAGGACGTCCTGACAACTTAAAAATCACCTTTTGATGAACAAGGAAAATAAAAGGATAATATTTCATGGTAGATCGAAACGGTCTAATTGAAAAGTTGAATTCTCTATACAATGAAACACATGAGCACATGCATGCCGTTCATGCGTTATCATTTTCAAGTGAGTAAGTGAACACATGCAGCATCTGGCCAAAAATCTCAAAGCTATCACACCAGATGTGGTTCCCTTCTGCGGGTACAACTAGGTGATGATAGCTTTAATCAGTGGTTACATTTCCAAGAGTTGTCTTTGTCTTTCCTTTAGAATTCCAGCACTCAAGGAAAACACCCACACCTGCCTTCATCACAAAAAGACAACCCGGGCACCACACAACGACGGCATTCAGGTTGGGCGCACATTTAGCGGCAAAGATTGAACATGATTGCATGGCAGATGATGAGGGGTTACATGAACGCCGTACAGCGATGCAGAAAGAAAGAATGATGACGCTTAGGTCGACTGAAAAGGAGCGAGAGATGAGGAACTGAGGAAATAATGAGCATGTATCTCTTCTAGAGGCTTCCACATTGAGGCTGGAAGAGCCGGGAAGCAAGAGCAGAAGAAAGAGGGGGGGGGGGGGGGGTGAGGAGGAAGATCACGGCTTGGAGACGACCTCTTTAACCATGGCTGCTGAGTATTCCACACACTCACCCTTGTTCAGCTTGTTTTGCTCCATGATGCTGTACTGTAGCTGGGAGGCCATTTCCTGCTTCTGCTGCTGAACTGAAATGGGCTTCCAGCCGTGTTTTTCATTCATCTCCCCTCCGCCCATGAGTCCTCCTCCACTTCCTCCAGTTCCTCTGTCCGAGTTAACATTGTTGCCCATGATGGAGGACTGGATTAGCTGGGTGGTGGCGTACGGTGTCGGCTGGCCCCCTGGACCCACAAAGCGGCCATCTTTCAGGTTGGGGCTGTTGAAGGTCTTCATCTCATTGATCTTGTTGGACAGGTCAACGTCTCCATAGACTCCTGACTCTGGCACCATAAGGTTGGTCTGCTTGTTTTCCATCTGGTTGTTATAATTGGCGATGCAGTCGGCTGGAGAACATGAGGAGGTTATTTAGTCAATCTCCTCTAAAGCTGATTAACTTAGAAGCACTGTGCCAGTTTGGCAAAAGGTTTTGATAAATCTTCTGATTTACTGTAGATATCAAAGCATTTTTTTTGAAGAAAGGGACACAAGAGAGAGATTTAAACTCTGTTTAATGTTGTATATTAGCTAAATGATGGTATACTTTAGGTTTAACATCTTTCTCGCTAGGTCTCCTCTCATCCGTGACTCAATGCGGCCGTCATCTCTGTTATTTTCCATCTGACGGCGAGAGCATTGTTGCTCATTGACGGGGACAGAAAGACATGTCCATATCAAAGACCTGGAATGAGGCGCGCGGTGAAAGCACAGCTCCACTGACAGATCCAATTTTCTCTGGCTCATAAAATATTCAAATCCTCCAGCAGATCTGAGAGCCAGCCTCGCGGTAAATACCAATGACGGCCGCAGGAGCGCGCGCCGCTCGTGCCACGCGCCTCAACTTCAAAAGGTGGATGTGTGAAGGCGCCCCGATGGGACAAATGGACATTAACTCCTATTACGTTGCACTGTCACCTAGTCAGTGATCCTCTTAATGCTCACAGGGTTTAGTTTGGCGCACACACACACACACAAAGCATGCGTCGAGCAAGGTGCAAAGAGTGACGGCTGCCTTTGGCCTGTCGTTTCCAGTGAAACATCTTACACCATCTTAAGGTGAGGTGGAACACTTCAACCTCAGACGGCTGATTAGCACAGAGAAAAAACTAAACTCGATGACTATAAAGTTAAAAATAAATGCATTATTAATCACCAACGGTTTGAAGTAGGCAGAAACTGTTGAATGGCTGAATGCATAAAAGCAGAACAGTTGGACAGGAATTCTGGGCTGCCCTTAAAGGCACAGTCCCAAAGGGCATAATTTAGATCATAAAGCATTTTATTACAGTCCAAGTTTCCAAGAAGAGGGTTATTTAAGACTTGGGTCACAGCTGAAAATGAATAACCAAGTCCTGTGTCATCCAAACTGACGTGTTTTTGGCTGCGGGTTTTACTCTGCTCCTTTTGCTGTGATAGGTCACTATATATGTGTGTGTGTGTGTGTGCACATACAATAGTGTATATTGTATAGTAATAGTGTAGATGATTTCAAGGCCAAATCTGCTCCCTTTTGTTGCCAACTAGTGCTGAATAATTAAAAGGCCACCTGGTTGAGTTCCATAGGTTGCTTCGCCCTTTCTCTCCACCTCTCCTACGTTCTCGCTCTCCTCTTCCACTCACACATACATTTCGGTGAATGATATTGTACACGTAGGTATATTTGTCATCATTCCTTTCTCGCCCGTTTTATCCAGGTACGCATTTCTCCCTCTATCATTCACCCCCCCCTCTCTGCTTCTGGCCACCATCTGCAGTCCAGCCTTGACCTCTTCGCCCCCTGCACATTTCTTAAATAACTGAGCACTTAGGGGAAATTACATTACTGGCTATAACAACAGTATGGAAATCAGCAAAGCAATTCGATTAGCAACAGTGTGGAGCCATAAGCCCCCTCGCAGTGTGCTCCTTTTATTTCCTGCCTAAAACCGCTCTACTTTAACCTCAGATAAATCAAGCACACAAGCACACAGCCTCTCTTAATCCTAACATTTCTGCAGGTCTTTTTCTTGTGGAAACCTACAGAAAGGAGAGCTACACGGAACAACTCCCCAGGGAGGTAACCCACATATCAGATGTAGCTTCATTTCGCACCGTTGATTCCCCCAGCTCCTACACTCCTTATCTCTACAGTTATTTTGTCAAGGACTGCATGCTTGCGTTTTGAGGGAGTGTTTATTTTGGTTGTCTCGTATGCATGGACGGGTCGGCACTACACACCTGGACGGCTGTACGTTGCCAGGTTGCTGTCACTGTTGCCATTGCCGGCAGTGCAGCAGTTGATGCCGCAGTCATTGTGGTTGGAGCAGGAGTTGGGCCACGTGTCCGCCAGCCAGGGCTGGGTGGCAGATTCCCCAATGTTCAGCAAACCGGGCCTGTAAAAAAGAAAGGGACCCAACATGAGTAAGAGCCTAAGGCAACACCCAAATAATATTTGTGTGAATAAACTGAAATATTCACAGTAGCACGAGACTTAAAAATAGAAGATCATGTGGAACCTTTTTATGCAGCAGTGGAGGATAGGTTGCTTTAGTACTTTTTTGCCTTTTGACCAAACGCACACAGCACACAACACACAATCACAAAGGCCTGGGAGCACATTAGGAAGAAGGCCAACTAAATAGATTGTGTGTGCTTGACTTGCATACAGCCAATGACACAAGAAGCCCCCACGAGCATTTAGCCGACCGCCCGGATTAGACAGCCAGATAACATTGACTCCCAATGTTGCAAATGTGTGTCCCGAACAGCCAGTGAACCACAAATGCTCCCTGAATAGATTCTCTGATGTCTCACAACATCTCTATCATTTAAAAAAAACATTTTCTTAGCTATACAGAAGGAAACTCATCCGACTGTATTGTTTGCATGTCTTGCTACAGTAATTTGAAGATCACTTGTTCCACTGGATTCTACCGTACAACATGACCACAGGCCAACCACTGAGTGTTAACAGTACTGAGAATAAATCGCATTCTATTGCTCATAAAACGGATCAATCTAGCACACAAATACATTTCAGTCTACGCCACCAGGGCCATATACTGTTTCAGTATTCAAAATGTCCACAGTATTACTTCCAGTTTGCATATTCCAACACTGCATTAGCATCGAGTTACGCTTCCTCGTTCCCTCTCAAATGACTCATTTCTTGGGATTCATTTTGGGTAATGAACACATTTGTCTTGCACAGCCAAATGCAATTTCACAATAGCTCCTCAATCACCCCGGCAGTTGTATGTTGATATTGAATGGCCATTGTCTTTGTGCAGAGCTGACACGGCCATGCTGCATGTGGGATTCAATCATAGAACTGGATAACATAATGGACATGGATTTACTGCTGATGGCTCCGAGCTAACTATTTATCCACACATAAACATGCAAACTCATGTACACTTACAGTCAGTGCGGTGTCAATTATATTCTCTCAGTATTCACAATTTAATACATATTCCCTCTTCTTGTCTTCATACTCAATTTTCACTATTTTCTTGCTGTATGTAAACATGCCAAATGCAGTCACAAGTCACAAATGAGTGCAGTGTTTGCCATGCGCACAGTCGCTGTTTTTGCACAATGCACCATTCCACAACATTGAAAAGGTGTGCCCTCTCTGCTGTGTGTGTGCACGTGTCTCCGTTCACGTTTTAGGGCGAGTCTACGGCGCAGCCTTGTGGTTGGATGTGGCTCTCCACCATGTAGGATGGAGATGGGCTCCTGGCAGACTACGTCCGGCTTTGTTCCAGTTATCATAACATATTTGATGTACCTCCTTACCCCTCCTTAGCTCTCTGCTGCGTAAGAAGGTCTCAGCACTCCCCCTAGTGGTCTTTGAAAAAAAGTTCACTTGCCAAACGCTACTCGTACGTTTTGGGAGTTTTAGTGATGTGATCACTAGTATTCATTCATTTCCCAAAATGTGATACTAAAAATATTTTTAAAAACCATTCATGAAAACAATATAACTCTTACCTTCCAGCGCTGCTTACAACTTCTCCTCCTCTCTGATATGCAACTAAAAAGAGAGAAAATAAGTTATTAACATGATTTAACACTTATATTATTGTCACCACATATTTTCTTTTGGCTACTATGTTATTAATTTGGTTTTGAATGGATTTGTTTTGTGAGCAATGATAGGAATGCTATGTCTTAACAAGTGTGAGATATTGTATCAGTTCAAATGTGCATGTGAGTGAATGTGTGTGGCATCATTTCGGCTGAGTCACACACGCGGCAACAGCAACAGCAGGAGGAAGAGGAGGAGGATATAAGAGGCTTACGAAGAACAGAAATGCAGAGCTCTTTGGCTGTCTGGCTCGAGTTCAGCATGTTTGAAGCTCTGCACACTGAAAGTTGGACTCTTTCAAGGCGCTCTAAGCTGCCCGTGTGTGAAGGAGAGATAAACCTCCAACTTTAATTACAATCTCCTCCCTGAGAGGAGAGGAGGTGGAAGAGAAGGAGGTCGGCCCTTCAGCTGTCTCGTTTTGAAAACAGGAAGTGTGGCTTTGGCCTCCACACATAGAGTTCTTAGATTAGCTCTCTCCAATGCGAACCAAAGTATCACGATCTAATTCTCGATTGAAATCGTAGCCGAACGCAGTGTGACGTCACGCTTTCACACTGGCTGCCAGCAGCAAGGATTTTCTTCTTTAACAGGCAGAAACCTAAACACAAAAGCTCAGAGTGGGTTTCACCTGACAGATTTGCCACGGATGAAAAAACAAGCTTGCAACTGCAATTATTCTACCTGATTGCAACCCTTCCGGCAATCAGAAACAACGCTGCCACTGTTACATATGAGGTCCGAACAGACCGGATCAGCCAGTGTAACCACGAACCCCAACTGTAATATACAAGTCTCCTGCTCTCACCTTGACTTCCTCTCACCTATTCACTGTTTCACATTCAGCAGAGCACTGAGCACTGCCAACACCCCTGACACACCTCTAGCGAACAAATAACTTCAGGTGGATGAAAGTCAACGAGTGGAAGAAAAAGGAGGAATGTAACCACACATTTGCAGAGAGAGAGAGAGAGAGAGAGAGACACACACAAAGAGCTTTTCTTATATCTGTTTCTCCCTGTGTGACTTTAATTCAAAGATAACCTCCTTAGCTCCGCTACTGCTTGCCTATCTAATTGGTATGTTGGCGTGCTGGTGGTGTGTCATTCTCTTAAATCACGTCTGAAGTCGCCAGCAGTGCTTTGATCAAGTTAACACTAGTCTTAACAGCCTCTCAGTGGTGTGCAATGCTCTCCGTGAAGCTGCTCCATCACAACAACAACAACACATTACGTGGTGGAAGTGTTGACAAAAGTAGACGACCCATTTTGTATTTAAAGTAAAATAAGGAGGAAAGTGCTTACCTGTTGGTGTGAAAGTAAAGGATGGCACTGTAATGACAGAAGCAAACAAATCATTGATTAGCTGTTCATCAGTACTGTCTGGGCCCCTAGGACTTCATTTATAGGCCTCATCAATGCATAGTAACTTGGCCTGTAGTAACAAGCTACTCGCTGGCCCCTAGTCTTTGATCCCTGTATACTGTATATCTCCTGGCCCCAACTTGGGGATAGTGAGTGTTGAGCCAGCTGCTGGTTCAAATCCCTGGCTCAGACTGTCAGAGACCATCTGGGCAGGGGGTCACCCACCGGGGAGATATCCGTTGCTATCGCGAACACTCGTATCATCACCCACGCAACTCAATTACTCACATTTTAGCTGGGAAGGGGCCCAAGTGCAAAAGAGTAAGATACCGTTGGCAGACTTAGCCAAAGTATGCGTTGATGCCACAATGCACCGTGCTGGACATCCAGAACGCTACATAGAAAATGTTCAGTATAGAAATGTTGCTGCCTGTCTCTGACCTACAGAAGGAGACGACTGGGATGAAAAAAACGGTTTCATTTTCTCAAACAGTTTGCTCAAACACCACAGCAGATGCACACATACACATGTCTCAGTTCAGCCAATTTATCCCCAACAAGTGCATATTGTTGCTTCATGTGGTTGCAATTATACTCCTTTCAAAACATTCTCGGTAACCAGTTCCTACAAAGACCACAGCCACAAGGGGAGGAGGGGGGGGGGGAGGGGGGCATGTCTGCCTACTGTGCCCCTGAAGAGCTTTGTGAGTTTATGTGAGTTACCATCAACATATAGAATCACAGAAAGTCAGAGGGGAACCTCAGCCCACAGTCTTTTCTGCCCCCCCCCCGCCCCCCGGCCACAGATCAATACTGGCACTCATAAAGTCTTCAAAGGGGCTATTCTGCATCAGAGCATTGGTTCTGAATAAGTCGCAGTGGTTAAAAAATACAGGTATTGCCTTTGGAGCTGTTAGCTTGGATAAAAACATCTCAGAAAGCGGCACGACTGCAACACTAACTATGAACCAAACAGCAACATTCAACAATTTTTGAATTTTGAAGATATACGGTCCAATTAGGAAAATCCACATGGGTCTTTAAGATGTTCAAGATAATATCTTCACCATACCAACATGTAGAAAGCCACAGCTGTGACCATTAGAACCCCAACATGTAAGGGGAAGAATTGAGAAAGACCACAGAGCTTAAGGAACAGCTTAGTTGAGGTGTCTCTCACTTTCACATGACTCGCAACTCCTACTTTTAGAAAGGCCGCGGTGGATTCACCCATAGACTGTGTTGTCTGTATAACAGCCGCAGACGTCAGTCCATTGTCTGTGTACGTCTCAGGGTTGAAGGGCGGATCTCCTCTAACCCGGGCTGTCAGCAGTAAACCTGAGACCGGGGATAAAGACAGCGCAGGTAGCGCCCACGGGCAGCAGCTGCACAGCCCAAGGCCACACATTAATCCAGCCCACACATAAATGAGACTCAGAAAGAAAGGCTAATAGCTCTCTTTGTACTCTAACCATTGTGGGCAGAGGTGGGGCTTGTCATGAGCCACGTCACTTTAACTCAAGTCAGGTACAAACCACATCTACGTGACACTGTGGCTAATCTACGAGGAAATGCAGCTTGGGGAAGCGATTTTGGGGGGATTTTTATAAACATATCATGAATCTGATTGTTTAATGCTCAACGATTCCGTATACAGAAGATCCCCCTCTGAACAGACAGTGAGCGTACTTCAAGCATGTGTAAATGTCAGCGCACTCTTGACAAAGAGGTATTATGGTAAGACATCCTCTCTTTCCTAGCACAGTCACAGAGGAGTTGCTAAAAGCAGAGTTGTTGGACCTCAAAATGTACTTTACTGAAAAGACTCTTCACAAGCCCTTGCAGAATCAGCGTGACAGACGTATGAAAAAGAAATAAAAGACGTCTTCGTGCAGCACTCTCAGCGGGGCCTCACATCCCATCCTGAAGCACTCAGTTGGACTTTCAGTGAGACTTCACCTTAGGCTCTCTACACAGACGCCTCTCACTGTGTGACATGCAGTGTGTGAAGTAGGTTTGCAGCATTTGGGATGCAGAAGATGGCGATTGTTTGGAACCAGAAATGATCACAGTCTCACACTAATGGATATTGCATTACGTTTACTTACCAAATTTGACAAATAACAAAAACAACTAATCTCCCCCTTAGCCAGCATTGAAGTAGATGTCCACTAATGTACAGACCTTTGCGTATGCCTGCATAGCTGCTGGAGAGGCCATTCCTCTTCTTTCGGTGTCTGTACAACCAGATGCTGAAGACCATGAGGATGATCCAGCAAGCGGCTCCTATGCCGGCTATGAAGGCGGGCTGCTTGACCACGTCTGAGATCTGCTGGGAAAGAGGGTTCTCCTGGATCACCGTCTCTGTCATTTTCCCAGAGGCATCTGAGGATGGGGGACGGAGGAGATGTGAAAACAAGAAACACACAAAATGTGCAGCACGAGCGAGAAGAAGGTTTAGTAATGTGACAAATAAGAGGGGAAGGAATGCAATTTAAAACTTCAACAAAGTGGGAAAAGACAGAAATGGAGTCATTTCAGAAATATGAACATTCTTCCTTCTTCCGATGCACAAAAAGATTTTTCATCTCAGCGGGTGTGAGTGAGGCTGAGTTGTGGAAATGAAGTCGTTCCTCTCTATTATTCAAAAGGCTTTCATCTCAAATCCCAGTCAACAATGGCAGGTGAGCAGAAGAAAGCAACCCAAGACATTCGTACAGAGCCTGATGCCCGGATGCAGGCGGATGGCAAAACACAGAGAGGCATAATTTACTCCAATCAACGGTGGATTCATAATCAAATAAATACATCCCCTGAGATTACCCCAAAATACTGTAATTAGCAAACTTTGGCACATCTGTGAAATGCGGGAGGTGTGAATGCCTTGAAGCCGTTTCTACTGTGAAATGCACTCTGATAAAGCACCGTCTGTACAACTCGCTCTCGGTCTGTTTTTCTCATCTGTCTATTCTCTCTGTGCTTCTCCCTCATGTCTGATACATGAAAGACTTCTATGGGTTGCCCCCACCCCCGCCATTCTGAAATTTCTTCATGTTCGTGTTACTTTGTCTTCACCCCTCTCGCTCTAGACTTTAATGTCGTAGCAACTTTTCTCCACCAACTCTCTGAGCCAGAGGCAAAAGCACTTCCTTTAATGAAACCAGCTCTCTTGCCTTTGCACCCTGCACATCTCTCCGTCCGTCTCCGTCAGTCCTCCCACTGCTGCCCTCTCCCTTCTCATTCCTCTGTCTTCCCAATTTGTGGCTCTGCCTGGCCGAGTGGACTTAGCATGCCAATGTGACTAAGCAGCCCACAGGGGAGCGTAAAGGTATCCAGGCGAGGGTGACGCGTACCCGCTCAGAGTGTGACAAATGCATCTGGGTGAAGCGCTGTTCCCCGAGGCACATTGTTCCACTCCAGTGTTGTAACACGGCTACAATCACCACAGGAACTTCTCAAGGTGGAGGAATTTGTATCAGTCACAGCCGATGCTTCCTCGTGCTTATCCGAGCCCACTCAATCACCCATTTTGAACTCTCTCTCTTGCTGCCTCATCCCGCTGTTGTGTTTTGCATCCTTCTCTAGATTCGGGGAATAGAAAACATCTTAAAATGTTGGTCTGTCTAGAATAAATGACTAAGCTAATTGATAACAATTAAGGCCGTAATAATAGCATGTCAAGTCTGAGCCCAGAGCACGGAATTCGTTATTGCTGTTGCTGCTGAAGGATGGAAACGTTGCATCCTTGACTGGAAAGCAGAGCTGGGTGGGGCTGCTCGCTCAACAGCTGCCACACAGGAATTTAATGTGCCCACGTTAATCACACTGCCGCTGAAGCTTCAAACCATTTCTGTGGTGCTCAATAACTGCAAAAGTTCAAACTCATCCCAGTGTTCCGCAGCAACGTTTGATGACGTCTCAACAACAGCTATAACTGTTGTTTTTAAGCCTCACCTTTGATGAAGGAAGGGAAAACAGGCTTCGACATGTTCATTACTACAAAGAAAGAAATTACATAATCTAAACCGTCTGTTTACTTGGCAGAAAGGGAAATTACTGAAAACTGAACTGTTTTGCAAATGAACTGGATTATTGCCATGATTATTTGTCAGACGTTTGTGTGACATTCTGTGTTAAAAAATCGCCAGAGGGCAAAAACATTGAAATGCTGTAAACAACCTCAAACAAAAAAAAAAGCATTTGACTAAATGTCGTTTCCACCCACCGAGCTGGAAGAAGGTGATATCGCTCTTGACCCCGGGACCGGCCCCGGTGCTGGCTGCTACCTCCACGCTGTAGCGGATCCCTGGGGCCAGACTGGGGATCTGCACGGACAGCGCCGAGCCGTCGACTGTACGGTTGATGTGGTACCTGCTCTCATTCCCCAAGCACCAGATCTGCAATAACAGACGCAAAGAGAAAGTGGAGATTCAGGCAATGTAGAAATCTGCCACCAGTCCTCATAATTGGTTGTTGCTGGTTCTGCAGCATTTCGGCGCGCTGTGGGTATTGTGTTACTTCTCTTAAGTAGTAAAACGTTTTTGCAGAACGGCTCTGTGCTTTACAGGCTGGGTCGGCGTTAGCGGAGGCAGCCATAACATGTCTCCGCGTAGCCGTTAGCCGATGGAAAACAAATGGAGATCAGTAATCACCCCCATAACCCAATTTCAGCAGAAGCTAAGTGCTGTCACTCCCGGGGAAGAGAGGGGGGGCCTTTGGCTGACTCAAACCAGGCCCACAAAGAGAAGCATACATGCAACTCAGCATGAGGCCTGAAGACTCCACGTCCCCGAGCCCCCGACCTTCCGCTTTCCTTACCCCCCACCTCCGCTTTCCAGTTAACCAGGTTAATATACACATATTTCTTGGGTCTGTGCTATAAACGTGTGCATGTGCTAGTGTTTGCACTTCTGTGATGGAACTACAATTCCCTGATATTTTCTATTTATCTTAAAAATTGCCTTCAGTAGAAATGCTGCAAGGGAACGGTGGCCCGGTAATGAGCAAGGAACCCTCTGGAGCTGGACTTAAAAACCATGAAATGACTTTAAAGCCCAACCCCCCCCTCCCCCCCGAAAACATTTACCTGGAAAATGAACATCGGCTTATCTTTCTCACTGGTTCTGCCTCATCTCCCTTTCTTCCACTAACCTACATTTTATGTGAAGCAAACAAAGCTTCCAGATTAAAGCACAGGACGGCCACAGCGTGACGTGTTGAGTGGACAGCTCTGTCCAAAGTGAGGTCATTACAAAAGGAGCATATATCATCGACTAAGCTGGAGGAAAAGGTGACTCATTAGCATTCCAAAGAAATGACTGAAATTAAAATAGAGGTCGGTCTCTCCTTGGTCATAATTACAAGTTGTTACCATCCACTCCTACTACATCCACCATTATCTGCCATTATACGGACGTCTCCACTTATATTACCGTGAATACAGTAAAATTCTCTTTTATGTAATGGTCCACTTAAAATGGTGCCCTATTTGTAGCAGTGGAGATAAATAGATGGAACAAATGATATGTCAGGAACATGTTATAGAAGGCAGAAGGCAGATCAAAACCAAAATCTATCAACTGTAATTACCACAGATATTTCTCACCATTATACACTTTCTGGACGCTCACAACATGTGTGGGCCTACATTCCCCACCAGATGGCATTGCATCACAACAGTTTCCAACGGCTCCCCTGGTTTTTGACTCCTTTCCTCGCTTGTCACTGAGCGTCTGTCATCAGAGCACTGGGGAGTGTACAAAGGTGCGCCTCGACCAGGAATTCATTACCTTTCCATGTCTGCGCATTGTTTCTTTCTCTGTTCTCTGCTCCGTTGGCATCCCTGCCCGTGTCTCTACAACAACAGTCCAACTCGCTGAGACCCGAGGCGGCGTCTGGCTGTTTTTTTTGTTACCTTGTACTCCTGGACCACCCCGTTCCGCTCCTCCTCTGGAGGGGGTTGCCAGGAGACCACGATGGCGGTCCCATTGTCCCCGCTCTCCGCCACTGTCACCTCGCGAGGGGGGGCACTGGGGGCTGAGGAGGGGGATTGACAAAATATTTTTTTTAAAAACACACACACACCCTCATACACGAGACGTGCATGCAGACTCTCGCTTTCAGCGATCTCTATGTGCGATCGAGGCTGTGGAGAGAACAAAGGATGAATATTCAAAATCACTATACAAGTGCCTTTGAGGGTAAATAAAAGCAAATGTTGTAACTATTCCCTCAGAACAGAAAGGGCTTCTGACGGCGAGGTGTGTTGTGTAAACACCAACTTGCGGTTTTGACGGTGATTCAAGTGAAATAATTACGAATGCAACATAAAATCAAAGCGTGAGTGGCTTCTTTTTTCTTTTTTTAAATAAAAGCAATTTTGTTCTGCTTACGGGAGAACAAACGTAATGTTTACAGCCTCAAAAACAATTATCATCAGAATTTGGAACAAAGGAGAAAAAAAAAAAAGAAGAAGATCAAAACACTCCACACACGCGACGCACAGACACACACTTGCAAGCGCTCACGTTTCCCCTCAACCGGTCGCTGCAGATACAAATTTGAAGTCGGGTTTCAACCGAACCTCATGAGACCGCCACAACCACACCCTGAGAGGAATTAGTACAACACTCGCGGTGAGGGTGTTGTGTACAGTTTTCCGTCGGGCCTTTTAAAGAACTGAACATTACACTATAGCACGCTTGACTGGACCACATTTGAAAATAACATAATCCTGCCCTCTCTGCCTGCTGTGAACAGCTGCTGTATGCTCACACACATATAAGCTGTGAATATCAAATTGTCTAAACATGCAAACACACACATGCAAGCACCAACGCGAACTCGCACACATTCACATCACCCTCCCGCACCTTCCTCCAGCGTCTTGCCAATTTTGACATCGCTGTCTGTTCCCTGGAATTCATTGAAGAAGGGCCGGATCTTGAATTCATACGCGACTCCCTTCCGAAGCTGCGGCACGACGGCGCTGTCCTCCCCAGGGGTCCGCACCTCGAACACAGCCCACTCGCTCCTCTGCAACCCCTCTGGTGAAGGCCTGTACATCACCTTGTAGCCCTGGATGTACTGGGACTGTTGCTCCACCTTGTGAGTTGCACGGGAATACAGGCAAGGACGGTGTCAGGCTTTGCTTGATTAGCTGCTTCACAGTTGGGTGGAAACTGATACGGTAAGGTAATAGATTGTGGCATCACCGGAAAGCTATGGATTTGTGCAACTGATACGGCAGGCCGGTGGGTGGAATGGTGGTGCTCACTCATCACATAAACCCTCTCTTTATCCGTCCACATCTACATCGCTCTGTTTGACTGTCTCTCAGTGCGCCATTTAGAGCAACAGGGATTTGTGCGAACCGCAGTATGAGGTCACTGGCCAGAGGTTCCTCTAAGTCTGGAGCTGATTAAATAGGGCCCAGGCGCCCAGAACAGCCTGTCTCATCCTGTCCTTTGCTTCGGTGTGGTGACTAGATGCTGAAGTCGAGGAAGAGGGGGGGAAAAGTGGGTCTTTGCAGAGGTTAAAGAACATGTTTAACAGTGTCTGATGCAGCTGAATAAAAACCCGTATGCTAAATGGAAGGCATATTTTTTATCCCTGCACAGTAAAATCTACTGCCGGCTCAGGTGGTCTTCATTAGCCTGAAAACTGTGCAACCATTTACCACCGCACAAAGGAAAATGTAAAAGCGAGAAAACTCGTTGGGAATAGATTTAACCCCACAAAACAAGGAAACTGTGGCACTTAACTGCAATGTCAGTCTTCCTTGTGTCATGTGTTTTTTTGGAACATTCCAAGGAGACAGGGTAACTGGGCAGTAATGTTTTAAATCAGTCTTGACATGTCAGTATCCTTTTCACGTTTCCTGTGTCCCATTCATCACTCACTATATGGCACTTCATAATACCTCGGAATTTAAAGGAATAACAGCAACTGCTCTTACCAGTTTTATGATATAATATATATATGATTATACTCTATATAATAAAAAAGATACATGAACTAGATTAATCTCAGGTGGACATAAGTAATTTACATTCAGCTTCTACCAGCAAAGAAAATATAGCATTTTTACTTCTATGTCCTGCTTTCTCACCTATCCATTTTAACATCTGTGATCCATTTCCACTCCAGAGCACGAGTTGGCCGCCTCTTTCCTCTAATTTTTTTTTATTTTAACAGCCTTTGAGTACTTTAAACCTTGCAATCGGGCACACTACTACACGATACTTCATGGCCTGCCAAAGGCACGCCTCTGTAGTCGGACTTTTGAGCAGCAGTGTTGTCCACTGTGGACCAAGTCAAGAGTTTTGGTCTGTGGCCAGCAGACCAGTTCAGGCTCATGCCAAACGGCCGCTAAGAATACTTGGACAGCGTTCAGAGTTGCTCTCTGGAGTTTCCTTCCTCTGAAGGGTGTTAGAACATTAGCTCGGCTGAGTGGCCTGACAAATTGACCAGAGGCGTACCTCTAAACTAACCTTGGAGCCTTGGTGACCAGCTGTACTAATGATCCATATCTTTAACTCTGGCTGCAGAGAAACAAGTGGCAAGTGGCATTTATGGACAATAATACTCACTGTCCACTGCACCCTGACAGAGGAGGAGGAGAGAATGGTGGGGTTGTGCAGGTGGATGATCACTTCTCCCAACTCCATCTGGATCTGTCGATGGTCGACGCCCTGACTGGTGGGGGGGATATCTGTATGCAGCGGCACAGAAACAGTAATGTTCCTCGTTGTACTGCACAGTACCGGTTAAACGTTTGGACACACCCTCTCCTTGAATTCAAATGAAAAAAATGTGTCCAAAACTTTTGTACTGTGTATCAAATTCAGAATGACTTCTCACCTTGTGTTTTCACAGCTTCGGTTATGGGGCTGGGATCGCTCAGCCCATAGGCATTGGCTGCCCGTACTAGGAAGAGGTAGACTGCACTGGGCTTTAAGCCCTTCAGCACAAATGACTCGGTTTTCACATGCTCTGCCAAGGTCTGCCAGCTGCTCCCTGATGCGTGACTGCGGACACACCACGGAGATAACCGAGGTTTAAAAGATTGCATTGACCACGTGCAGTTATTTTGAACAACGATCGTTAGCTTTACCTGAAGGCCTCTATTATATAGGAGGTGGGAGTGGCTCCAGCATTGAGGTTAGGTCTCCAGGAAAGGGCAATGGAGGTCCGGGTCACATCAGTGACCTCGGGTTTGGAAGGGGCACTGGGGATCAGGTTTGGATCAGTAGGCCTGTTTGGCTGGACTTGGACTCCAAACTCTTGAAGCGGAACAGAGAAAAGGAAATAAACAGGCTTGTAGCAGTTTATTTCTATTGTACAGTAGGAAAAAAAGGCTTACAAACATTAACAAGCTGGATTACCTTATTTAACTTAATTTTTCACAAAGGATGATAACAATATTAAATTACATCTAACACACTTGTCCCACCGATGGACACTAAACCTCATTGGGTAAGTCTTACCGTGGACCTCTAAGTAGGCTTTCCATGAGGCCTCTCCACTGGGGGTGGAGGCGATGCAGGTGTAGGTTCCAGTGTCACCAAGCTGGAGGTAAATAGAGAAAGATATTGTTTGAATGGAAATCATTCAAACATGTGCTACAGATTAGTAAACTGGGTCCCTGTTTCTGCCCCATGCGCCCCCCAATCACACACCACTACGCTGCTGCTTATTGACATTCTGATCGGGTCTGAAGCAGGCAGCTGTCATTGCGTGATAATCTCAATTTCATCTGTTTCATAGCAGAAACTAAGGGGAAGCAGCTGGAAAGGCCAAGTGGCAAACCATTCCCAGCTAAATGGGAAAGATTTTCACAGGATCGTTGACTAATTGGAGACCTTTTTTTCGCTGTCTACCTTATTCCCCTGAGTACCAAACATGGAAGCTACTGCTCTGTGCAACAGATGTGGAGGACAAGCTGTATGGAAGACATGGCACCTTGATCATTCATGCACTGTTAGTTAGATATAAAAAATTAAGTTGGGAAAAGTGGAGATAACTGACGTTTTAGAGTGCATTATGTTTTGGTGAACTAGGGTGTAGTCGTGTTTAGAGAGATTACACAACACCAAAAAGCACTTAAGAGAGCTTATATCTTCTCCCTCAGGCGGAAGTGTGTTTTTAATAAAGGAGAATTCAATCTGCATTAGATCAGCATGAAAATACAAAAGGAGAGAGACAATCGCGTCGTACATGTGACAGATTAATGGATTTACACCTGAAATTTGGATACAGACCAACAACCAAAACAATAATAATGTTTTTTGGTTCTTTTGATGAAAACAGGTTGACACGCGTTTTTTGAGAGGGTCTGCTAGCTAATTGGCAAATAACAGCCAAAATATAACTGTTGACAAAGACATATGGCATACTTTCACAATGCTGAATTAATAGAAGAAATCAGCTCTGTGAAGTGCAGTGCAAGTTCGAGGGTGAATAATTCTGTTTTAGTTGGGAGGTCGTCGTACACTAAGGGCTACTCTGCTGGTGTGTAAATAAATTAAAAGAGATAAAACCATTCAGATTCATTGTTTAAATAACTTATTGTGAACATGTCATACCGATGACCATTCTTTTGTCTGGCAGGCATGAAAATGTATCAAAACTCAATAACAACCAAAATCACCCGACCACGTTATTAAAATAAATTAACTCACGCATCAAAAGCATCGTCATTAAAATGTTGTCGAATAGAAATGACAGGTTCATTAATGCAAGCTGCCTGCAGAGTTTACTTGGCTACAGCAGGAGAGGGATTCACACGCATCCCCTCCCTCCCTCCTGCCTTACACCGGCTGCCCGATCATACTGCAAACCTGTCACAACAAGACATGCCAGCGTTCATCAGACCTCCGCTAGCTGACGCGAACTCTGACCCCCGTGACGCCTCCGTCTGGAGGACGCGTCTCTCCTCGAGTGTGTTCAGGATCACGCAGCTCGCCGTCACATCACACATATGTACTCACACACTCAAAAATGACACACAAACAACCCACTGTGTTAGTTGACTGACAGGAAATACAGACGTTGACTTCACAGACTCCATTTCAAACCTGCAACAAGTGACTGACAGCCCACTGAGGGCTGTCTGCTGGCAGGGAGCACATTCTTTATTTACCAACCAGCAGGGGTTTTCCCGACACATCATGGGTGTGATATGGACAACTTTGACGTTTATTTGAATGGATTAAAGGCAGCCTAAAAAACATAACACTGATTTAAAAAATACAACCTTGATTCTAAAGAAATACAAGGAGCGTTTAAACTACCACAGTCAAAGAACTGCAAATGCCCGCGAACACTCCCCATCCCCGTGTGGCGCACTCATCTTGGTTGATGATATAAAGGGATCCGAGCGTGCATGTGCACGTGCGCAGGTGTCTTACCTTTGCGTAGCGTATCTGCAATGCACCCGTGTCCAGCTGTTTGACCCTGGAGTCATGTGTGGACACCAGGACACCGTCCTTCCTCCACAGGATGGTGGGGGTGGGGTTTCCTGTTGCCACACAGTTGAGGACCACCGTGCCATCCACGGCTACGGTCTGATTGGCTGGGCCCTGGCGGATGACTGGTGGCGGGCGGTCTGAGATAACTGTGGAAGGAGGAAGGAGAAGGAGCAATTATGTGTAGTGGGGGGGGGGGGGGTGTGAAGGTTTCCATGTGCCGTAGCAGGGACAGAGAGAACCGTGGATTCAGACCAATTCAGCTTGTGTGAGAAAGAACACCAAACGAATCAGAATCTGCCAAACAACATGTAGCAATGTGAAACCCGAAAAAGGGTTGTGGGAGAAGAACTAAATGCAGTTTTACGAACTGGAAACAATTTTCTAATCATTCAGCAGCAGGAGCCGAACTGGCCAAATAAAAGCGTCGTAATTAAAATTTAAAAGCTTCAGATACTTCGGTCTTCTCTTTACAGCTTGAACAGACGCCTGGCAATACCCATACGAACACGCACAGCCAACAATCTCCTGCCACCCCCCAGCCATAAAACACAACACAAGAGGGAAACCACTTAAAAAAAAAAATCTACCCAGAACAGACAATGTTATTAGCATGAAACGTTGAAACTTCCCCCTTTCCTCCCAGCAAGTGAACGCTGGCTGTTCAACCAACGCGTAAAAACAACAAAGACACAGCGAGAAAGAAAGGCTGCCATGTGCAAAGAGGCACAGGAACGAGATATGACAGGAACGAGAAAAACATGCATCCGATAATTCTCCCATTTTTATCGTTTCTCTGCGCCTCCCTCTGATTTTCATTATCATTCACAGCTCTATTGATGACAATTGCTGTCAGCCCCACTGATTCGCTGGCAAGTCCGGTGAGGAACAATCAAATTAAAAACCTAACTACACAGTACCAGCAACACATGATGTACGTATGTGTTCATAGATCCTCAGAGCCATGCTGCGGTGTAATCTATTGGCCGCCGTGTCTTTGCTTTTGTGCCGGGGATGGTGCAATTACTAAAACATTGTCAGCATGACCTGTAATTACCAGATCTGCCTGCGGAGAAGTGGCGGCCTCCGAGTGGCCTGCTCACTTTAATAACTGTTATTATTATCCAGAGAGCATGGCAGAATGAGAGAGAGAGAGAGAGAGAGAGAGAGAAGAGGGGAGCGGGATGAAGCATAGCAGAGTCGGCCTGAAATGAAGACGGACATTTGGTAAATGAAGGCATGAATCTAGGTGTGTCAGAGACAAAATAATAGCTGCCCAGATCTCTGTGGGAATGGTGGAAAAGTAGCCAAGGTTAATCCAGCAGGCTGACAGGGAATGGCTAGCGGAGTAATTAGAGGACCCAAACCAGACCTCACCACACAGCCTTCCGACGGTAGACAGCGGGGCAAGCCAGCCGTGGAATACTGAGGACGACATTAGCCAGTGTGAAGACGGCAAAGCCAAGCTCTGAGACACGGTCTGGATGCACAGGCACCAGAGAGTCTCTACCTCTGACAGGAACACATTGAGCGGGCCAGACCCAACCTCACAAACCTCAGTCCGGATATTGATAGGCTCTGCTGCACAACTGCAGCGTTTCAGATGAACGGCATTAGGCGCATGAGCCAAAGATGATACCAATTGTTATCCACTTGAGCAGACACTGTTTTTAAAAGACGCTTGCTTACCATCAGTGATCTCCAGCAGAGCCTTGGTGAGGACACTGCCTGCAGTGTTTATGGCCTGGCAGCTGTAGTACCCCATGTCTGAGCGCTCAGCATCAGTGATGGTCAGGTCCCCGGACTGAGATACGGAAAACCGGCTAGAGGGTTGAGGAGGTTGGTAGGAGAAGAGCAGGTTCTATGGGGGATCAAGACAGGTCAGAAACAGTTAGACTTGGCATAACAGCTTTTTATTCAACTATTCAAGTAAATTATACCAGCAAAAACAGTAATTTCCACAGTATGCTATCACGTTTTCCAAACGAACAATGAAGACCTTTATCTTGGTATATATTCTTTACCTGACTGCCTTCCCGCTGCCAGAAAATGGCTGGCTGAGGGTTTCCGGTGGCCTCGCACTGGAAAGTGACGGTTCTGCCAACCCCGACCACCTGGTTCCTTGGTCTAACCACAAATGCCGGGGGCACTGCAGGACAACCATGACAACGGTTAGCCATTCAATAATTAAATAAATTATAGCATATGATTTTATAGTCACAAGTAGTGTAGGTTATTGGACTTAAAGACAAAATACAGCTACTGTACAGCGCCCGTATTGAAATATGGATTGATGAATACAGTCTCCCTGCTCACAGCAGAGTAAACAGTTCACTAATCGAGATAAAAATGCAGGCGTGTTATAGAGGTAATGAATAGGGAAAACAACGGTTTCTCTCATGCCCCCTCATTTGCATGGGCAAGGGCATGGACCATTAAAATTTACATGGAAATGGGGAATAAATTTTAGCCATCTGTCCAAGCTGACAGCCTCCAATAGTGCGGGCCTCTACCAGGATGCAGTAACTATGCATCTTAATGATACATTTCATCGAAGACTAAGTGTGGTGTTGAATTCCAAGGTCACGCATGTGGCTCTGCCGTTACATTGCGCCCTCCATGCGAGGTCCCACACCCTGAATGTAGAGGTCCAAAGGCAGGCCAGTTTACACCTTTGTATTTGTTCAATATAGGGTCGGTGTTATACACAAAGTCAGGAGGTCTGAAAACTATCATGTGAAATACAGAAAGTATTTGTCCATGAATAAGATGCGGTGGTTGGTAATGCATAAAAGGGGGAAATAATAGAATGTAATGATGCGGCTTTACCTTGGAGGCCCAAGCTGAGCATATTTTTACCCATTAATGTCCTTTTGTCACTGTTGCCCATAACAACAGAAACATGAGTGCTGATTGGATGGTGGAGAAGTGATGGGAGGAGGATGGAGGGGGGTTGCGACAGCTTCCTGTCTCTGTCAGGGCGGTGAATAGGTGACGGGTGATATTTCAACTTACCAGACATGACTAAAAAGGAAACAAAAACACAACGACAAAAAAAACAAGGGTGAATAAATAAATAATAATAAACAGCATGACATAGAGGAGTGATAAGGAAAATAACAATATGATTTCCATGGATCCAAATAACTGTTAACTGAAAGACAAGTCAGATATCACACATGACTAAAGCCCAGAGGGACACATGAGACACAGTGCAGAAATAATTAGCATGAGTGAACAGAAATGCATTAAAAATGCATAAACACACACACACACACACACACACACACACACACACACACACACACACACAAACTGATTCAACATTACACCAGTTTTAGGACATATTCAAGGAAATATCATGGTGCAATAAAATTAGAAAAATACAAACAAGCAATTTGAAACACACAAGACAGATGTTCTATGCTTATAATAGTTTTGTTTATTTTTATTTTTTATCTCTTTCCAGGTGTGTGAAAGTGTACGTTCCTCTGCCCTTAATGAGGTTCACAGCTCCCTGAGGAGCAGCTGGATCACAGTCCCTCCAACACGGTCTTGCAAATGTACGCCTGGTTCATAAAACCACAAGGTGAATGTTAACTGTCACTCTTTGGACATAAATCTCCCCCAGCCAATCAGTCACCTTATCTAATCTGTCTGCTTCAACGGCTCCCACGGAAACATAAACGCTGTCAGTCAGGGTAATGACCCACCCCTCCCTCCTCCCCTCGCTGGCCTTTTAAATGCAGATAAGACGTGCATCAAACGGTCCCAGAAGAAGACGCTCGCCGCTATCCATGTGTGAGGGGGTCTAGATGCACACAATCATGAGAACGTACACACCCACAGATACACAACCCCCTCCTTCCCCCCGATAAACACCTACACCCATGCATTCATGAGTGTCTAAGCCTTTAATTAGGTAACCCTACCCCTCCCATGCCGCTGTGATCACAGTTCGGACCTGGAGGGAGAGGTGAGCTTAAATCTGACCAGGCTACTTTGTTGTAGACTTTTCCACTAGCTTACAGCGCAGACGGGAGTCTCTACCAAGGAGCAGATCAGGGCCGGCGAGGAAAAACACACAGAGCGCGCCAATAGGAAGCAGGCTGTGTACCAAACTGAGACATTAATGGGGATTTGAGTAGTGCTGCTGTTCAGTGCGAACTGGCATCAACACAAGAGGACTACATGCAGAGGATTCAGCATGATTAACAGTGGCTGCCATCCGGCGGTCTGTGGCATGCTTTAAATATCCTTCTGAGATTTTCTATACTGCGTATCAAAAGAAATGCGGTTCTGAAAACTTGTGACTGTGAGTATTATCCTACGCCGGTGTAACTCACATGTGTTTGAGGGTGAAGATGAATTGAACGCAGAAGTAGAGAGATAGAACAGTAAAATCAATCAGTTCTGTGGCTCCCAACAGGGTCCAACCAGGATTTATTATCACCCCAACAGTACACGGTGGGTCGGCAGGAAAGCTCCTCTCACTCAATCTCTTTTGGCACCAGTTCCAAGTCTCCTTTCTGACCCTTCAGGTGGGTTTTTAGCAACTCTGCTCTGGGGACCACCATTCCGCTCCACACCTTTCTACTCATGAATCACTGCTAACAGCAAACTTAACACACTTTAAAAAAAAAGCTCTGGTTTTCCAAATACTCACAAAGTGTGAAATAATATTTTTCTTTCGGTGAAAGTTTAATTAGAAAAATACATTATCCGAACGTAGCAGACCCATTTAAAATGAGTTTCTGTGATATTTTTATCTTAAAAAAACGGCGACTCTCACGTGTTGACTTAAGTCAACTCAATAGCTGAACAGCAACATCGTACTGCTGCATTCTCATGTGGCTTAGATTAATGATTTTACGATGAAACTACAAATGTCGATGGTGACTTGGCCAATTATGCTTTTCTTCCATCAATCAATGACATTTTTAAGTTGACATATTTATCCAGTCCAAAGGAGGTGTAATGAACTGACAAATGTGTGTAAAACAATAATTCACTGGGTAAGGCGTAATGAGAGCGGAGCGCATTGAAAGAAAAATAGCCCACGGCACCTACTTCCACAATGTCGACATTGTTCCCCGACTATGTGCCCATAGAAAGTGTGAAAATCCCCCTCGGTCCGCACGGAGCTCCATTCCTCACATTAACTGTCCGGATATTAAAAGGGATTTGCTTTTTAACGTATCTTTAAAAGTTTATGCCTTGTAAATATTTAAATGAGTTCACATATTGAAACATTGCAAAGAATCTATATTTTAAACCAGTTAAAAAGAAAATCCAGTTTTAATGACACTAGTTATGATACATTACTGCAGATTTAATGGAGGACAACTTGAGATAAAGGAATAATTAAATGAATTCAACTAGCCTTACTTTTGTTAAAATAGTTTGATGAAAAGCTTGTTTTGCTGGTGGCCAACGAATAGAGAAAGTATATTATTCAGCTGTTAATGTGTTGCCTAAGCAATCTTGCTATACTCTGACTGGATGTAGCGCAAGAGCATTTCCCAGTAAACCCGGACAGCGACATCTTACTACCTATGCATTGTTTTTGCTACTTCGACCTCCCCAAACCTACATTTACCCGACCTTTCTTTCCTTTTCCTGTGACGCATCTGTAATTAGAAGCATGTTATTTCCATGCGTGGGACTTTGGCCTGCTTGTCTTTAATTAGCTGGACCACCGCTAGCCACCTCATGTCCTGGTCTGGATGAAGTCGAGGGATGTAAAAGGGTTATGGAAATGGTCGTAGGAACTCGAGCATTAATCCAATCTAACCGTGAGAAGAAAATATAGATTGCAATTTTATTCTGCCGTTCACTAAACTTTTCACTCCAAGGAAGCATTAACATTTGAAACCGGAATCTATGCAGGAGTTCGTTTTCTGTACAGCTCCAACTCGTACACCACGGTGGTACAAAAGGCGTAATGTATGAAACGAGGGCTACTGCCGTGCTTCTGCATGTAGGCGACGGGGGTTTGGCCTGAGGTTAAGACATTTCATTTCCACTGAGGACAAGAGAGTTTTCACCATTTCAAAACTAGAGGAACAGCCTATCGATCCAACACGTCAATGCTGTTCCATTTCATTAAGTACACTTTCACCAGAGAGACGGAGAGCGAAAAAAGACAATAAGAGAAGTAGATATATTGATGGGTGTATCGGCAGGTGTGGCTAATCTTGCTCTCTTGTTCTGGGGGAAATCAAGGAATGATTGAAAAGGGTAGCCATGTGATGATGGAGTATCTGTCTTTGGGGATGGGGGTCGGCAGAGGAATGAAATTGCCTTGTCTCTTTATATCTTTCCAGCATTTACTGCTGGAAGTGACATTAATATGACTGACTCACCGCGCAGGATCCCCTCCTCCTCCCTCTTACACCTTCTTCAGCACAACACCCCCTTTCCCTCATCCTCCCCAGACCCAACACCCAACTTCCAAACCGTTCTGCATCAGTGGCAATCTGCACTCCTCACTATTCACTGTCCTTCCATCCAATTCCCAAACAACAATGCACTAAGTCTCCTCCCTACTTCCGCTCTTCTCTCACCTGACTCCCTACATTCCCATTAGTTTGGCGCTAAATGGCCCCTGTGTTCCTCTGGTTCTCAGGAGGGTTGCGGGTGAACCAGGCGCCCAGTTCCTCTCAATGGTTTCTTTCTAAAAGTTCACAAACTGTGACCGGTTGCTTTATATTCCAACCGTGTTAATAAGACGTAAGAGGACCACAGGAGACCCACGGATATTCCATAAGTTCACATGTAGTGCTGCATGTCTTCAAACATGACGGAAGACAGGCCTCCTGAGAAATGGCACTTGTGTGGGGCAATTGAAATCGATTGCTGTTGAGATCCCATGTGCGCAACTCTCCAGCTGTTATGGATTTTTGGGTTTCTTTTTATTAGAAATCAATCAGCTAATTGAGAGAGAATAGTTGAAAGTGATGATTGCGTAGCACTAAAGCTGAGAGTTGTTATTGCAATGCGGCTGAGCTGAATTGCATTGGATTCAACAGTTACAATGACCCAACATGGAAATGACTTGAGAATAGGTATCCGGGGGCTGCAAAGGCAATGATAGGCAGACTAAACGGTGTAAAACTGAGGCTCGTCACAGTGTACCATCTTACCGTGGACAGTGAGCGTGGCCGACGCCTCCGCCTTGCCCACCATGTTCTCTACCACGCAGGTGTAGGAGCCTACGTCAGCTGAGGTCAGACGACGAATTTTCAGGGTGTGGTCCTCACGAATCTCGTATCTAAATTAAAGAGGTATCAATGTATTTTATGTTGTTACATACATCAAATTTAATTAAAAAATTAAAAACACTGACAAAAGAAAAAAACAGCAGTGGAACTAACAGAGAGAGCATGATGTTGCAGGAGAAAGGGTTTTTTTGATGAAAGGCGACCTGTGGGTGATTCCTACCTTCCTTTGGGCAGGTCACCATCGTCTTTCCTCCAGCGCACGGTGGGAACTGGGTCACCTCGGGCCTCGCACCTGAACTCTACACTTTGGTCCACTAACACCACCTGGCTGCCTGGGCGACGAACGAAGTTAGGGCGCTCTGCAAAGATGGAAACAGCACACACATGAATGATCCCAGCATGGAACGGTAGTAGTGGAGTAGTGATTTTGATTAACTGAAAGTCATTAAATTAAAAAACTGAATTAAATCCAGTGCAAAAAGCCATCTGGACGTTTTAGCTCTCGCTCCTGTGTTCTGAAATCAAAGCACTGGCATAATGTAAGCTAATCAAGTTACATTTTTTACAGAAAAAAAGACAAGGTAATAGCCAATTCATGGGTAAGGACAAAAATACATTCTATATTAGATTGTCTAGACAGAAGTCCAAGTACAAAGTTCAGGAAACAGGTTACTGATTGGTGGTAACTGGTGGTACGGTACATGCTTTAGATAAGGGATTTAACTTATTTTCCTGAAAATTGGCCGGTTTCTCTCCTAAGTAAGTGCGCTCGTCTCTCTTGACATATTTCCTTCCTATTTCCTGTCTAACATGAAAACGGTTCGTGAGGCCAAAAAGGTTGGAGACCACTGGTTTGGATCACACATGACAAGACACTAAACGAATGGAAGACTTGACGCTAAACAAGACCTGACACAGAAAGTGTAACCTCTTGTGTCATGTTGTTAACCTTAATCACCCTCGAGTCCAGCTCCGATGCTCTCAGGACACCAAATCAGCACAAGGTCGCCCATGTTTATTTTATTCATTCTAAAAGGCTAAATGCTAATCCTCCTATTTACTCACACATTCCATCAGACTCGGTCACAAAAGCGAACAATGGTGGTTTATGATTAACCAGAGTTTCTAGGTAACGATGCTGATTGAGATGAACAAACACCAAAGCTCGGTTCTTTAAGATCTAATGGTATTATCCTGGTACTGTTATTTATCTTTATAGAAACAGCTTTGTTGTTTATTCAGACCCGACTATAAGAGGTCACCGAGGAAAAGAAATGAAACAACGCTGGTGATAAGATCAGAAGTCTGGACATGCTCTCTGCGCGGGACACAGGAGAGTATCAGGGTCAAAGGTCATTCATAATGAAATAGGGCGCAGCTGGTCATAGCAGAAAAGCTGCTCGGGCCAGCGTGGGATTCATAGTTAAGTGTGAGATTGCAGGTCATCTCACACTCTATCTTACAAAGGTCAGTGACACCATTTAGTTCCCTGGGAGATTGACAATCACAGTTTAGCATCTGGATTGTGTTTCTCACTGCAGACAACCAGAAAAAGGCCAGACAACGCGTGCAGATGTGTGTGTTTGTGTGAATGTTTGTCATTTGTTTGTGGACAGAGAGTTAAGAAGACAGCAAATAGAGAGAGAGAGAGAGAGAGAAAAAAAAAAAGATTATTCACCAAGCACTGTAAGTTCAGCTATTTCACTTTCACGTTCCCCGACCATGTTCGTGCCAACGCACACATACTTCCCAGCATCACTCTTCCGGGCGTTTGTGATCATCAGCTTCCCGCCGCGTATCTGAGGGAATATAAGGGGAGGTGAGAGGCTTATCCTGGAGAGGGGGAAAAAAAATGATATTAGAGTGTGAGAGACACTTGGGGCCTTTGGCTGACACAGACAAACATAAAACAGCAGAGCTCAAACATTACACAACATTTCCTGATTGCATTTAAGAATCGCTTTGAGCCCTTACTTTCCAAAAAAGCCATTACAGCACAATGATGAAATGTGCTCACAAACACATAATGGCTTGGTGCTAAAGAGGGTTTTTGCTCTGAGCTTATGGAGATAAAGATAAAGTGGACTACTCTCGGCGTTTTTTTTTCCGCTGTTTCCACTCAGCTTCCACTTGAAGTGAAATCAGTCGGCCAGTCCTCAGGCTAGGCTGAGCCAAAGTATGCTTTCCCAATCCAACACAACCACGGCTCCCTGAGGGAACACCTGAGGCCCTGCAGGGCTGGGGGCAATTTTCCAATCGCCTCAAAGGGCTTCAGGACAGTTTTGCCTATTATCTTGGCGAAGGGTTTTAAAGAATAGGTTCTTGGATTTGTTTTTTCGGTGCGTGCAACTGGGAGCAATAGTGATACATACATTCAAGCACAGATGTACAGCACACATACACACCCAGCAGTGTGTGTGCGTGTGTTTGTCCAGGTGAATGTCATGTGTATTATTTCCCAGGGCTTTGATTACACGCCAGAGGAGGTGCTTTGTTCTCAGGCAGTCAGAAAGGCAGCCCCATGCCCCAGATAGGCCCCTCAACCCTTCTCTCAGCTCACAGCCATGCCAGTCAATGCAGACCCAGACAATAGCGCGGTGCACCGGTGATCTCTTTGCCTTGATGGGAGCGTAAAGGTTTAAATGTGCGCATCAGCCCGCGAGACCAGGACCACCACCTGCAAGCATGTAATCGATACCCTCATTAGAGTCGCACTGACAGAGAGCATGACACATAATATGGCAAATGCGTGAGTACCCTGTTAAACGTAAGCCCTGCTACATGTGTGTTCACTTGAAAGCCGCAGTATGATCCGTCTCCGTAAATCCCCATCGCTGCACTTTCACATGCAGCCAAGTTTTCATCACTCGCATGTGGCGCCGGAACTTTGTGCGAATGGATTTTGGTTTCTGTAAAAGTCACCGGGCTCAGTCGAAGACTGTTGGAGGACAACTTTGCAACACGCCACATACCTCTGGCTTAGAGGCATTCCTCAGCCCTTCAGCCCTCTTTAATATTCATGGTAAAGCAGGGGGGGCAGAGGGACTCGGAAAAGCTGAGGAAGGTTGTCTTATTTAAGGCACCCCATGGTGCTGGAGGGGTTTGAAGTATCATTATGTTACGGTTTGTTTGAGGAACGGCTTAACAGCTAAAACACTGTGACATCCACAAAAGGCCCAGGGTCGGGCTCCCCCATCCAGCAGAAAAAGAGGGGGGGGGGGGGGGGGTGAACTGTTGGGTCCACAGAGCTTTTGACATGAGGATCCACTTAGGGCCCTTTCTACTCTCTTTCTATATCCGTACCTCTGTGTGTCTGTGGCAGTTTCCTTTACTCTCTACAGAAATACTTGGAGTGCCGGAGCAGCAGGGATTCCAAGAGCACGTAAATAAATGCAGCAGCGGCCCTCGTTTTTCTCTGCGTGCATATCCTCTCCACACATAACAGCGAAGCGCACACAAAGCCCCAACAACTTGGACATTATCCCTGCATTAGAGGGAGATGGCTCCATCCTGTTGCCTTTTGTCTCCTGTCATTTGGCCAAGCTGATAATGGACAAAAGCCACTAGTCAATTTGCATTCTGTTGGGATTCACACAGCAGTCATTTTTAAAGGCTGACAATTAGCCACAACTATCACACAAAGGGAGGAGGACAATGTGCCGCATTATGGTCGGTTATGACTCTTGCTTTTAACGGTCGAGGTTTGAATATTGACGTTTTTCCCGTTTCTGTTCATTTATCCTTCCCACGTTGTTCCTGAAAGACCTGTTTGACCAAAGTTGAGTGGGATGAAGCCAGCTGCTGCTCGTGGGACTGCTGTATTACAGGGTAATAGCCCTGCCTCACTCTTTATGGCTCTGTGGGAAACTTTGCAAAACCGCCCCACATGCAGTCCTAAATATATGTGAGATGACACACAGCATGTCGCCGTTTTTTTTTTTTTTTTACACACAGCTGCTTACAATAGAAAGAAAACAGAAGGGTTCCTTCTGATGTGTCGGCCCCTCTCTGGAGTCGATTCGCCCTTTTATGCCGCAGCCACCAAAAGCCAAGCCAACCCGTCGCAGTCAAGTGCAGAACAGAGAGAAAATTGTTCGAGACCTTGCTCTGATCACCACTGATCACCAAGGAGACTGCACGTTTCAGCATGCTGCACGATGGGTGGGAGTAATGAAGTGAACCAAACAATGGGGGCCGGATGACGAGCTCAGCTGTTCATCACGTCATAAAGGCTCCGCCCACCGCTTAGCTCTCAAAAGTCCTTCAGTCACTGGCAGCAAAATGTTCTATACAATAAACAAACTACGCACATCGGCCCTTGATTGTCCTATTTCTGATGATGATTTCATCCGTTAACATGCGTGTCCGCAGGAGAGCGCCCAGACTATCGGTCACTGCAGTTGATTACAAATACTTACACGATAGCATTACATGGAATTTTACAATCACAGGAAGTTTACAGTGAGCAACACCAGCTGGTCGGCGGACCTCTCTTAAGACTTATGCAGCCTACGTGGATACAACGCTGTGTCAGTTAGCCTGCATTTAAGCAGCAATATCATAATATCACCCACGAGTGCAAAAAATCACATTTGCAGCATAGACAAAGTCATCACGGCCGCCATGCAATGGGATAGGATGGATGTTTTCTCATGGGAATGAGGGATAAACGACAGAAACGTGTCTGTGTTTTACTTGTTGGGTAATAAATGCAGCAATGGGTGATGTGAGCGAGGCCCATAAAAGATACTGAGCAGAAGCAGAGCTGTTGTGCCGTGTTTAACAACATGAGGTAGTTTGCTATTAGGTGAAAATGATGTTTACCACTCGGCATTTTATCTGGCTCCTCGTTAAAATAAAACTAATAATTCCTCTTCACCTAATGGCAAACTACCTCAGGCTGTATAGTTTCATTTTTCCTAGAATCCGAACTGAACAGCAACATTAGGCACAAATAGGCAGTGTGAATGCAGTAAATACACAGTGCATGCATCATCTGAATGTGTTGGAAACAAGACAAACCGTGAATTTAAAGGGCACAGTTCATTATATGGCAGAGAGGTTCTGAGCTTGTGAGTAACTACTGACTTAACTAAGGGACATATATGATTGGATTTCCTTTAAACTAGATTATGCGCTTGTTTCTTTCAATTATGCTGCTCAGCGTGCAGACACGGACTCTAAATCTTCTGCCCTTGCAGCTTTGAAAAATCACAGAGGAAGAATACTAACGCTGTTTATAAGTTTAATTTTGCAATCAGGGCTTAGTGCATAAAACCTCAACTAGCCCTCGTCATGTTCAGCCCCCCAGCTAACAGCGATAAATCATTGTTTCAACACACCCGGTAATGAAAATGTGTGCAACTAGCCAAAATTTCAGCATTACGCAGCAGGGATACAGAGTAGAACGTTTTCATTGGTATCTGCCATTAATTATCCGGGAGGATCTGGTCCCCCGTGACTGCACTGTGAAGTTTACCATTGTTAGCACTTGAGGGTCAAACCATTTGACTGCTCAACTACTTTACAATGATCAGCCAGAACCTTAAAATCTTACAGGTCAGATGATGAAAATGGGTTCCAGAGCCACAGCGATCTACTCCCCCCCTCACTGTATGCTTGTGTGGCTCAGTCAGCACCGTTCAAATGTCATTTTTTTTCTTCCTAATCAAGGAAAACAACTACTCAGGATCCCGAATAGTGTTTGGCTAAGACAGTTGGTGAGCAAGCATGTTGATGCTGCAGTCCCCGGCTGTGCTGTCGTTCTAATTAAAGCTGAATAATTGGTGGTTTGGTTGCAAATCAAATATAAAGTAAAGAGTTGTTTGGATTGTGCAAGCACTGCTGCTACTCAAGTGAAACTTTCTTCTCTTTGATTGCAGTCAGCTCATGTCTCCCTCCTGATCCATACTTCTTCGTAGTTGATTTCATCGCCAGGTCAACCTTAATCAATGTTGCTGCTGACTGAGGGAGCAAGACTGATCTGCCTCGGTCATTAGAGGTTGTAACCACTTAAATGGGGAGTCTTTGGGTTTTTGTAATTGCAAGATGTGAATAATGAGGCGAACAAATCAATATCTGAACAGCGTGGGATGGATGATTTAACTTGAATCACTATCTCATACATTTAACATATCATGCTTGTATACGAACCAATCTTGGGGCATTAAAAAGCGTACGTGTCAGCAACGACAATGTTAGAGTGACTGCACTTTCTTACCGTGATTCTCTCATCTCGATCGTCAATATTTATTCCATCTTTTTTCCATGATATGGTGGGTTCCGGATGTCCACGCGGAGGCTGACACTCTAGCACCGCCGGCTCTCCTGCTGCCACAATCACATCTGCAGGGTTTTGTCTGAAGTCATCACGTAGAACTGTGAGAAAACAGAAAGAAGAGGAGAAGAACAAATTTACAAAGTGTTTTTATATTTATGTTTTTATTATATCCTCCTTCATGGAAAACAAGTTAAAGAAAATGTAGAACGAAACCCTTTATACCATAAGCTGTTCCTATAAACTGAAGGCAGCTCGTATAGCAGCAGCCCAGATGTTTTGAAACACATAATTACTTCCGCACAGATGACCAAACGTTGGAATAATGAAGCACATTATTATCGCCATGAAAAAAGAAACAACCGCTCCAAAATGTGTTTACAGCATTTACCCCCCAAAAAGTTTGCACTGTGTGGTCTACTGCAATCTCTAGGCTTATGCCGTTGTTATTAGATTGCTCACATAGATCCTTACTGTCGATGCGCTTTACAAAAGCAACGATGAACACATATTCGTGCCCGTCAACATCTCTAACAGCAATGACCTTCCTCTTTGTTGATTGAACCTCACAGACTCACAGAATCATGCACACACACACACACACACACACACTTTGGTATAAAATGAGGAGCACCTCTCCATCATCAGCTCTTCATCTCTCTGTGACGGTTCCTATTTACATCCCCACGCTGATAGACGCATGCTATCTTCACATAGAAGTAACTGATCTAATCTACTACCCCTGCCTGGCTAAGGACTTTGGTATGATGTGATTCTCATTTGCATTGATTTTCTCTGCTGGAGGTGCTATAAAAAAAAAGATGACTCGGCCATGGATTTTAATCATTCCCCATAAGAGATCCACAAATTTCAAGTTTTCATTTGTTGATACAAATGTGAAACTGAATAGATTTGAAGGTTTAAAGAGATGAACTGAGCAATTCTTATTTTCATTTGGGGGCTTGATGAAAAACAAAACTAGCCTCACCTAAAATCATTAATCTTTCCCTGCCTGGCCTTTTCAGAATATCACGTCAATTATGTTACTAACCGTACGTTGTATCAAAGGAAATCAATACGTATCTATATTTTGAGGGGCAGAGGAAAACATATGTGTGGACTCCATACCTCTGGTGTTACAGATAGACTGGAGGTTTATTGGGAAGGTAGAAAGTAATGAAAAAGCCACAGGATCTCTTCCGCAGACAGTGAGCCAGTAATCATATTCCCAGCTTTGCTGCACAAATGAAAACTCATGGAAAGCAGGCCTGTAAATTTCAAGCTGAAATACAGGCCACACACAACGTATGCAAGGTCATGGCAGTGTGGGGATCGGTGTTCCTTTCTACATATGGGAGAGTCACGTGAACAGGCTCGTGTCCGTGTTTTGGGAATGAAGGCGAGTTTTTGTTCTACTGTCGAGTGATTGTCAGCTTATTTCTAAATTGACCTCATTCACAGATCAAAGTCAGGTTTACCCCAGAACCCATTTACCCACTAAAGGCCAACAGATTCCTGACTAAACCCCCTTAAGCACTTAATTGGACAGTGCCGGGCCCGGATACTGACTCGGTACTGGCTCGAGACAATTCTTTCAAACAGTTTGTATCAGAAACAATTCAAAAGGCTTCATCCAATATTTTGCCACTCATACCCTTATGAGGAGAGGGTACCGGTCAATTGCACAGATGATTAACAATTACGTTTGTCACCCACTAAATATTCTCTCACACTCACTAAGATCCGACTGAAACTCAGCAGTGCAGCTGCGAGTGCGTGAGCTAATTTGATATGGTTAAAAGCAGATACAGTCATCCAGGAATGCAAATGTAAACACCAAACATCCGATCACTTAGAGCACCAGCTCCATCTGAAGAAACATGGTCTCTATTTGTATCAGCAAGGTCAACAAGTTATTGAAATAGTCGGCCTTGAGTGTCAAAGTGAGTCAGAAATTGAAGACGACATACAGGCTCAAAAGTGAACTTTTTTTAACAGTTCAAACATCTCTTGATGTTTTGTTAAGTTAGTTTGAAGGTACACACAGACTACATCGTCTGTATATTTGGGCAGTAGCCTCTCAATCGGCAGTATATACACTTTTATTAGGTGCAGAGCAAAATGAAAGAATTCCCCTTTGTCCCAGAAGGCCAGCTTGTAATAAACGCCTGAGTGAGTAAGTTCAGTAACTTTAACTGTAACATTAAGTGCACACAGGGTTCTCTCAGTGGGTATCTGCCTCCCCTGCTGGCCTTACGGGAAGCCTTTCAGCTAACATGCAGATGCATTTGTCCCTCTGGAAGAATAAAAAGATGTGTGGCGAGGAAAATAAGTTTAAAAAAAGGGGATGCTGCATTGACTAGCTGGGGGCCAGAGGGATGGCTGGGATCAACCAGTGTTTACAGCAACAGCGCACTGCACTCCAGCCCTCCTTAAAAGCACAAGCTCCCTCACCTCGCTGCCCTCTCTCCTCCTCCACACCAACACCTCTTTGTCATAAACACAGCTGAGTGCGCTGCAGCAGACAGCCCCGAACATCTGCGTTGTGGAAAACAAAATCCTCTGGGATGCAGCGAAAACCGAGGCAGACAGACAGTCTGTCAGAGAGACAGATGGACACGGATCTGGACGAGTTACAAAGCCCCAGATCTTTCGCCAGAAGCCCAGTCAGATCCGGAGCTGCGCCTCTGCGAAACGGTTGCCTCTGCCACCCCCCCCCCCCCCCCTCCGGTCATGCATTCAGCATTCCTCCTTCCTGTGTAAATACTGCATAAGGCTCAGGCTAGCCTGCCTGCCTGCCTTCCCAAGCGTTCCTGTTCTAGGACCGAGAATTGGGTGAAAAAATGGGGTAGACAGTCTCTGACGCTGCATGCCGTCGGGAAAATGTGTGTGTGTGTGGTGTGGTCCGTGTCTGTGTTTGGGATAATGAGCCTACTCTGTCTCTCTAGTGAGCCTGCAGCTGTCCCCTAGCAGATAATATTTCCTGCACTATTAACAGGGGGCCCAAAGTCAATGTGTGCGGATGTGTGTTTGTGTGTACACAGAGAGATTTTCACTTTGTGGCTTAATATGTGGAAATGGGCCAGAGTCACAGGTCCCAGCATGAAGACGTCTCTTTGTCCGTCCTAGATTTGCTGAAATATGCTGATGATGGGATGAAACAGAGTGAATTCCGGACCTGGACGGAAATAAATACGCTTTGTCAAGGTAAAGGGATCTATTCTGCAATGCACTTCCTCTTTTCAGTAGGCCAAGAACAAAACGTTTGCTATCTCATCCGGCGGACACGAATTGCTGCAAGACAAACAGCTGACAGTGCATAAAACAACCACATCTATCAAAGCACAGTTTGTACGGTTTGCACTGGCTTACATTTACCGGGCTCTGGCAAACCCAGTCCAACCACAATACACAGCAATCTTTGATAAATCATTTCCCAGGTCCACAGTAGCAAATTGGAGCTTTGCTGCGGCTAACGCAATTAGCTATCATCATTTCTTTCATCCAAACCCTGCGTTAAAGGTCAGCTGAGATGGCTGCCCCCAGCTCTGAAAACTCCCAGGTTCATCACCGCCACAAACTATCCTCTGTCCGCCCACATATATGTAGCCACGCACGCACACGCACACACACACACACACACACACACACACACACACACTTTTCCTCAGGAAATTGAAAACAGATGTTTAAATGTCAAATTAAAATGAGATTCCCGTGCTGCCCCTCCAACATTAATGAAAATGAAGGCTTAATGCCCCACACAAGTCTGGGTGGGAAGATCAGATGAGCTTTGTTCTGAGGAAATGAAACCAAGTACAACAAGCTTCCCTTCAAAACTTATGCTAAGGATACAAAAACAGACCCACCAGGGAATTACAGGTTTATCAGAAGGCAACCCGTGGTCCTTCCACAGCTTGGGTCTCGCCTTCGGCTCTGGCCTTTTCCTGGAAACCCCATCGACATGGCCGGCCCTTAATGGGACACGGAATGAATGATAACAGCACGGGAATAGAAAGAAGCTGCTCATAGTAATAAGAAAGACAATCTCTCTTTTTTTGTGTCTCCTTTGCTGGTTTTCTGAAGGTTGTTCTGCTTTTTCTAAACTGCTCAAATTAACTCGATTTGCTTTTCAAGTTTCCACAATGTCCGGCCTCAAACATCATCACATATTACCAGAGGACTTACGGCCAAGATTGATGGACAGTGAAAAAACACTAACCAAATATCAACTGGCTAACTCCAAGTGTTCATAGTTATATGAGTGACTGCTTAAAGGCTTAAAGCCTCAACTGCAGTGGAATTGCTCTTTCTCTCTTTCTTCATTTAGTGCCTCTGTGAAGGAGACAAATGAATAACAGCTACATTTAAATGAACACATGAGAGGGAATGGATCTTTCAATGCTAGTACACATGTAAAGAAGACTGATACACTGTTCACATATTAGAATCTAACCCAGTATGTCCTAATGTCACATTTATCTGTATTAAAATAAGGTTTTCATTGGCTGAGATCCCCTCCAGTGGATTTCTGCTTCCCGCACAACCTCCTTCACCTGTGTTGTTCATGCCATGAGCAACAATCCCCCTTGTTCACAGTGCAGCTGAACCCTCCCATATTCATGCTGCTCACTTTCCCTCCACATTTGTCCTATGGGACAAACACCTCTCATTCTCACCCCTCCACGTATCTCTCACTTTGTGTCTAAAATTCTCTCTCCCATCTCAGCATTTGCCCCCCTTATCTCACCCGCTCCGTCAGCTCACACGCACTCACACGCACTGAGCAGCTTACACACGGCTCACAGAGATGGTGTTGCAAAGGCTGTTGCAGGTAATTTGCCAGCGGCATGCGTATTGTGTGTGTGTGTGTTAGCAGGGCTTAAGTATGTAGTTGTGTTGGTTGATGTGAAGCCATAACAGGACTCCTCCTGTATTTTCAAGAACACTATCCCTCCCGCTCATTTGCTTCCCCTGAACCCTGACCCCACCGCTAGCGGGATAAGATTGGACACGGCAGGCTACCCTCTCTTTCTCAATCTGGTTCTCGTTCCTGGGCTCTGAGCGCATGCCCTCTTGCCCACCCTGCAGCCACTCGATC